TAAATAATTGTAAGTATGTGAAGTTAATGAACACATTGAATATTAGTGGTAATTCTTTTTCTAAAATTATAAACACATGCTTATTCATCTAATACATTCTTCATTGGAAAATTAGGATTTACAAAAGTGCAGAAGTACATCTCTATTTCTAGGCAGTGGAGAAAAGATAAAAGTGAAGAAGAATGAGTCAAAACTCAGCAGTAAGAGACTGTGGATAATGCCTGGTATATGATCAGTTAGGTCAGTGGATTTGAGATTTATAGAGTCAGAGTTCTTAAGATTTATGGCCTTTGGAGCCAGAGATGAATATCTTCTGAAAATGTTTTTCTGTCTAAAAGTTTAAGATGGGTGACTTTTATTTATTTAAAAACACCTTCTCTTATAATTATTACATATTAAAAAACAAGAAGATTAAAAAAAAAGATTATAGTATAATGAACTCTCATATACCTGTTACATTCAGCTTTTAATTCAGCTGTAGCAATTACTAACTTGTGGCCATCCCGTGATGGATAGAGAGTTTTTAAATTTTTAAATTTTAAATTTTAAAATTTTAAAATTTTTTTATTTGGAAGTAGGTTCAGACCTGCAGAAAAGTTCATGTATTTGTAAAGTGTTCATTACATTCCTTGATTATACTTCTGATATCTGCAGAATCTATAGTAATGTCATCTCTCGTCTTCCTGATACTGGTAATTTGTGCTGCCTTCCTCCCCTTTTTGAGTCTTACTAGAAAAGATCACTTTTGTCGATCTCAAAAAAAAAAGCCTTTGGTTTCATTGATTTTACTCCATTTTACTGTTTTTTATTTCATTGATTTCTACTGTGAATTTTATCAGTTTCTCTTTGGTGCTTGCTATAGGTGTAATTTGCTGTTCTTTTTCTACTTCCCTAGGGCCAATGCTGAGGTCACGATTTTAGGCATTTCTTCTTTCAGATTTTGGAATATAGTGGTATAAATAATTTCTAAATACTGTTTTAGCTGCATCCCACAAATTTTGATATGTCCTCAGTGTTACTCAGTTCAGAGTACTTTGTAATTTCCCTATTGATTTCTGACACGTGGATTTTTACGAGTGTATTTTGTTTCTAGGTATTAAGGCTTTTCTACCTATCTTTTTGTTACTGGTTTCTAAGTTAATTCCATTGTTTTTAGAACTTTGTATGACTTGAATCTGTTTTATGTCCCGAAATGTGGTCTTTCTTGGTGAATGTTCTGTGCATACGTAAAAAGAATGTATATTTTTCTGCAGTTGAGTAGAGTGTTCTGTAAATATCAGTTGGGACCAATTTGACTGACAATGTTGTTCAGATCTTCTGTGTCCTTTGTGTATTTTGAAGATCTGTTAAATGTATACATGTTTAGAATTATGGTTTTATGTCCATCAGCTAACCCCTTTGTCATTATGAAATGACTACATCCCTGGAAATATATATTTTTTAATCTCTGATAATATTCTTTGCTTTGAAATCTCCTTTGTCTGATATTAATACAGTTACTGAAGCTTTAATTTGAATAGCACTTGCACATATATTTTATTTTAACTTTTAGCCTACTGTGCCTTTATTTTATGTTGCATTTCCTATAGGCAACATATATTTGTAGCCTTGCTTTTTTTTTTTTTTAAGATTTTATTTATTTTAGAGAGAAAGCAGAGGGAGGGGCAAAGGGAGAGTGAGAGAGAGAGAGAGAGAGAATGAGAATCTCAAGTAGACTCCCTGCTGAGCATGGAGCCCAAAGCAGGTGGATCTCATAACCCAGAGATCTTGACCTGAGCTGAAATCAAGACTCAGACACTTAACCAACTGAACCACCCAGGTGCCTCTGCAGCCTTGCTTTTGAAAAATAAAACCACAATCCCTGCCTTTTAATTACTGTTCATATTTAATGTGATTATTGATATTGTTAAGTTTAAATCAGCCATCTGGCTATTTGTTTTCTATTTGTCTCATCTCTAGTTGCCCTTTTCCTCCTTTTTTTTTTTTTTTTTTGCCTATTAGATCAGTTTAGTAATTTTTTTTGGTTCCATTTAATCACCTTTGTTGATTTTTTTAGTTGTGACTCTCTTTTATTTGAATGGTTACTTTAGAGTTCATAGTGTATATCTCTAACTTACTAAAATTTATCTCCAAGTAATACTATGTTCACTCACATATACTGTAAGAACCTCACAAGAGTATACTTCCATTTCTTTGTGCTGTTTTTTCTATTGTTATATATATTTATTTATGTATGTACCATATCTGATGCTTTTCCTTCTTCCGTGGAGATCCATGTTTCCATTTCCATTTTTCTACCTGAGGACTTCCTCTAACACTTTTTTTTAATGATGTAGGTTTGCTCATGATGATTTTTTTCAGGTTTTGTGTCTAAAAACGTATTTCATCTTTGATTTTTGGAGGATATTTTTGCTGAATATAGAATTCTGTTTCTCGTTGCTTCAAAGATGTTGCTCAGCTGTTCCCACCTGCATTATTTTTAGCAAGAAATCTGATGTTGTTCTTAACCTCTCTTCCTTTGTATTTGTAACATTCTTTTTCCTCTGGCTCCTTTTAAGATATTTTTCATCACTGCTTTTGAGCAGTTTGATAATGACATGCCTTGGTGTAATTTTTCATTGTTTATTTGCTTAATAGGACTTTTTGGATCTGTAGGCTTATAGTTTTTCACCTAATTTGGAAAAGTTTTGGCCATTATATCATCACATATTTTTGGTCCCTCCTATCTTACATGTATATTAGGGTGCTTGAAGTTGTCTGATGGTTTATTGATGTTACGGGCTTTTCTCCCCCTTCTCTTTGTTTCTGCTCGTTTTTCATTTTGGATATTTCTATTATTTTGTCTTCAGGTTCATTGATTTTTCTTCTGCCATATTTAATATGCTGTTAATTTCATCTAGTAACTTTTTTTCCTCAGGTACTGTACTTTTTATCTTATAGTCAAGTTGGTTCTTTTTTATATCTTTCATGTCTGTAGTTAATGTGTTTAGTCTTTCCTCTTGCTTTTTGAACATATGGACTACAATTAACAACAGCTGTTTTAATGTCCTTATCTACCAGTTCTATTATTTGTGTCAGTTCTTGGTCTTTTTCTACTAATTGATTTTTCTCCTTATGGGTTTTCTTTGCATACCTTTTAAGGTTTAATTGGACGTCAGATATTGTTACTTAATTGGGACAAGATATTTTGCGTTCCTATAAATTCCTTGACTCAGTGCCATCTTGGGAATGAAGTCTTAGAGATATTTGGTCCAGCATCTCCAAAATAAGCCACATTATCGTACAAAACTCTGTGAGCAATTTAGTAAAAATTGCTTCTCAGTCTAGGGTGGTATTACAGCTATGAAGCATATTACTGGAGTCATTCTACCATGGTAAGCCTGATTCACCAAATCAGTCTGGCTTGAAGTGGCAGTTGTTCTCAAGGGCCATAACCTACTGCTATAGAGTACTGGGAGAATGAGCAAGCCTAACCTCTTCCCCTGCATGAAGACCAGCTATTGTTGACTGAATGTGAAAGGCATAGCCCAATCCTACAGGGAACCCAGAGGGAGCCCAGGAGTCTCCCTGATTTGGGGAGATGAAGCTAAGAGTCTTGGAGACATCAGAGTAGCAGGTTTTCAGGGCAGATTATCAGTAAATGGATCCTTACAGAGAAGAAACACTGAAAATATCCAAAATAGTTCCCCTCAAGTCTTCAGCTGAGTACGAATCAGCGCATGTGTAAGGAAACTCCTGAAGATCAGGGAAAGCACCAACCAAAAGGATTAAGAGAAAAACTCATCAGGGCTTACACAGAGCTGAGAAGAATGCCTGTTCCTACCAACCCACAGTGGAAAACCTCACTGGGCACAAGGATTCAGGAAGAGCGTTTTAGAAGGGTGTTGCTTCAGTGGTGGGATCAATTTAGCCCTCAACTAAAAGCTACTCTGGTCCTACCTAACAAAACTCTTTAAGACATGAAGTAATAGGGGTGCCTGGGTGGCTCAGTTGGTTAAGCAGCTGCCTTTGGCTCAGGTCATGATCCCAGGGTCCTGGAATCCAGCCTCATGTTGGGCTCCCTGCTCCATGGGGGTGGGGGGCCTGCCTCTTTCCCTTTTGCCCTTCCCCTGAATGAGTGCGCTCTCTCTCTCAAATAAATATTTTTATTTATTTATTTTTAACATTTTATTCTTTTGCCAGGGGTAGGGGAGAAGCACAGCCCAGGGGAGTGGGAAGCAGAGGGAGAAACAGACTCCCTGCTAAGCAGGGAGCCCGCTGCCAGACTCAGACTCCGTCCCAGGACTCTGGGATTATGACCTGAGATGAAAGCAGAGGCTTAGCCAACTGAGCCACTTAGGCGCCCTTCCAGTATCCTTTTTTAATACAGGAAAAAAATTTGTCAGTGAGCTCAATGAATTTTCTCCTAGGCAAGCATCATGGGTAGTCAAACAATCAGAAGATTGCTTAGTGTACTTGGAATCAGAATAGGGGAGTGATCTCCAGTAGGGGTACACCTGCTTTAGGAATTGACTCTTGGCCAAGCATTACCATTCATGTAAAAGGTGCTCAGTAAATATTTGTTAGATGATTAATTTAATTATCATGGAGAGGTTTTGGGGTTGCTTTCATTGCTGTTGCTTTACCTTTAAACTTCAAGCAATAAATTGAGTTGTGTGAAGCATTTTTAGCTCAAGGTGGTTAAACTGGATTTGTTCTCTGAGTTGGGAAATGAAAAGGGAAGATTCTACAGTAGTTTCTCATAGAGCTTAAATTGTTTTGTATCAAGGCTATTGTTAGTATAAGTTAATTGATGAAATATGTCAGGTTTTGTGATAGTATGTATCAGAAGAACTAGCACACTATTGAAAATGTCATTAAAACCAGCCAGCACTTTAGTGAGTACTTAAATATCAGTTAAACTTCAGTACATAATTACAACAAAGTCTTAACCGTATGAAGTTATATAGTCTATGAAGATATAGCAGAATTCCCTAATATTTGTTGTTCTTTCCCCTCAGTAGTCTTCAACTGTTCTGAAGCACAGGACCTATCAGACCACTGTAGATATGGACAAAGAAGAAAGGAAGACTATCAACCAGGGTCAAGAAGATGAAATGGTAACTGGTTTTTATAATTTATTTGTCAAGTATGAAGAATTATCTTTGTAATTTATTATTCTAGGAAAGTAGAAAAGTACATAAAAACAAAAAACACTAAATCAATGTGCTTTTCTCCTCCCCACTGCCTTTTTGAATTGGGATTATGTAACATCTCTATTTGTTGATTTTAGTGTAATTCCTGTTTGACTGTGAGCTCTAATACTTAAAGTATTTTTAAAAATTTTTATGTATTTTTAATTTAATTTTATTTTATATTTCTTATATTTTATATATTTTTATTTGATAATTTAAGAAGTTACATTAGCTAATGTTTTAAGTGTAATCCCAAATGTAAGATTTCTAATTTTGATTTGTAAAAAATGTTTGAAATCACCTTAATAAAAAAAGAGCTTTTCAGCTCTTTGTGTGTGGAAGTGGGAAGATAAGGTTGTCAGATGTCATATAAGATACCCCATTAAATGTGAATTTCAGATAATCAAGGAATACATTTTTTATAAGCATGTCCCAAACATAGCATAGGGCAAACAAAATTAATTTTTAATTGAAATTTGTGTTTTAACTAGGCCCTCTACATTTTCATTTGCTAAATTTGGCAACTATTGTTAGCTTTTTGGTGGCGGTGGTAGTAAACTGAAACAATGAAATAATTTGTGTCAAGAGGTCAAATTGATCAGTCATAGTGGTATTGTGACAATTTGCTAATCATTTGGGAGAAAAATAAAGTTAAAACTTACTTCATTTAAATGCAGTATGATATTATGGCTTATATCCTGGAACAGAAATAAGACAGTGAAAAAACTAGTGAAATTGTAATAGAGACTAGGTTTAGTTAATAGTAATGTACTACTGTCAGTCTCTTCAATTAGACAAATGTACCAAGTTAACAGGGTAAAGCAGAGGAAGGCATACAGGACCTCTTAATGTTTTTGTAACTTTTCTGCAAATCTAAAATCATTCCAAAAATAAAAGTTTATTAAAAAAAAAAAAGTCAGCCTTTTATATGACAAGACTTAATACTTACCGGGAAAACAAAGAACTTTGGCAGTTATCTCCTATCATTTGATATTCAATTGTGTGATCACTGTGTCCATGCAGGAGATTTATGGCTATAATTTGTGTCGCTGGAAGCTTGCCATAGTTTCTCTAGGAGTGGTTTGCACTGGTGGCTTTCTTCTCCTCCTCCTCTACTGGATGCCTGAATGGCGGGTGAAGGCAACCTGTATTAGAGCTGCGGTTAGAGACTGTGAAGTGGTGCTGCTGAGGACTACTGTAAGTCTGTATTTATTGGGAGCTGATTATTCGAAGCATTATATAATGCTTTTGTGTGTACTTGGTTCAAAATAATATATGAGGAGCACATCACTGCTAGGATATAATTGGGAATACTGATCCTAAAAGCATTTGTGTTCTAAGTGATAGTGATTAGAATAGAAAGGAATCTTTAAATGATTCTATCAGCCCCTTCCTTTTATAATTCTTGATGCAGTGAGAAATTAGATGCTTGTCTGTCAAGGTCACCAGCCAGTTTAAGGACTATATCAGATCTGTTATTCACTAGACCAGCTGCCTTTCTACTCTGTGATGCTGCTGCTTCCCTGGTTGTTGTTGTTGTTTTTTTAAATCTTAATTGGAAGCATTTTATCAGAGGCTTTAATTTCTTTTTTTTCTTTTCTTTTAATTAAAGAATTTGTTTTTATTGAAGTATAATTGGCATAGGACATTATATTAATTTCAGGCATACAGCATAATTATTCAGTATTTGTGTAGATTTTAAATAATCACAATAATGGCAGTTAACATGTTACCTTACAAAGTTATAGAAATTTTTTTTTCATGTGATGAGAACTTGTAAGGTCTGTTCTTTTAGCAATTTTCAAATATGCCCTACAGTACTGTTAACTGTAGTCACCATGATGGATATTAGATCCCCGGGAAGTTTTTACCTTTTGACAACTTTTACCCATTTCACCCCCACTCACCCCGTACCTTTGGTAACCACTTAATCTGTTGTCTGTGAGTTCATTTTTTGTTGTTGTTGTTGTTGTTGTTGTTACGTGTATTTTTTAATTGAAGTAGAGTTGACATACAGTATTAGTTTCAGGTAGACAGTATGACTTGAGGTTTATGTACATCATGAAATACCACAGTAAGTGTACTGACCATCTGTCACCATTCAAAGTTATTATATTACTGACTATATTCCCTGTGCTGTACTTTTCATTCCCATAACCTAATTCTTTTATGCTGAAAGTTTGTACCTTTTTTTCTCTTTCATCTGTTTCACCCATTCCTCCTTCCCCCTCCCTTTTTGACAGTGTCAGTTTGTTTTCTGTATTTTTGAGTCTGTTTCTGTTTCTGTTTGTTTTGTTTTTGGTATTTGTTTTGTTTTTTTTGTTGTAGTATTTGTCTTTTTCTGTTTGATTTATTTCATAATAAGCATAGCATAATACCATCTAGGTCCATCCAGTTGTCCCAATGACAAGATTTTATTCTTTTTTATGAATGAGTGCTATTTCATTATAAATATATATACCACATCTTCTTAATCCATGTATCACTGGGCACTTAGCTTGCTTCCATATCTTGGCCCTTGTAAATAATGTTGCAGGAAACATAAGGGTGCATATATCTTTCTGAATTTGTGTTTTTGCTTTCTTTGGGTGAATACCTGCACATGGATTACTGGGTCTCATAGTATTTCTATTTTTAATTTTTTGAGGAGCCTCCATATTGTTTTCCTTAGTGGCTGTACCAGTTTGCATTCCCACCAACAGTGCACCAGGGTTCTCTTTTCTCCACATCTTCACCAACACTAGTTATTTCTTGTCTTTTTTGATACTAGCCATTCTGACTCATGTGATTATCTCACTATGGTTTTGATTTGCATTTCCCTGATGATTGATGGTATTGAGCATCTTTTGTCACTTGGTCATCTTTATGTCTTCTTTGGAAACAGGTTTATTCCATCCTCTGCCTATTTTTAATTGGGTTTTTGTTGTTGTTGAGTTATGAATTCTTTGTATGTTCTAGAGATTAGCCCCTTACCAGATACATCTTTTGCATGTATCTTCTCTCATTCAGTAGGTTGCCTTTTCATTTTGTTGATGGTTTCCTCAGAGGCTTTAATTTCTAGCCTCAGTATGTTGATAATTAAATTAAGAAATTACTCATAATCTTGCATGGGATATTGTATTAGTGAAGTATGTCATAAAATGATGAACACTGGAAAGCTTTTATACATCTTCATGTATGGAATTTATACATCTTGGGTGCGCCTGGGTGGCTCAGTCGGTTAAACCTCTGCCTTAGCTCAGGTCATGATCCCAGGGTCTTGGGATAGAGCCCCGCACCGGGCTCCTTGCTCAGTGGGGAGTCTGCTTCTCCCTCTCCTTTTGCCCCTCCCCCTGCTTGTTTGCGCACATGCATGTGTTCTCTCTCTGTCAGATAAATAGATAAAATCTTTTAAAAAAAGATGGAAAAACAAAAATTTTGAGCAGGATTTAAAAAAATTTACACATCTTGAAATGGTATAACATTTAGTGAGTAGGAAGTGATGCTTTCTCAGGGACAAACCAATAATCTGTAAAGAATGGTAATTAAAAAATATGTAGGTAGTTAGGTAATATACATGATTGACTTTTTATCCCTTTCTCTCTTGTAAGGATGAATTCAGAATGTGGTTTTGTGCAAAAATTCGCTTTCTTTCTCTGGAAACTCACCCATTTTTGAACCCCAAATCTATGACTAATAAAGTTGCAAATGGCCATGCTGTTCATCTAACTGAAAATTTGGCTGAAGAGAATAGGCATGAGATGAATAAATATTCACAGACTCAACCACAGCAGGTATAATGATCTTAGTGTCAAAGTTTCTTTGAAAACCGGAATTGTTATATTTTATGCTATCATAACCTATAATTTTGTACATGAAGTTATTTTTGTTTGGGATAAATTCATATACATATAAAATATTTATTACTATACGTAGCACAGTTTAGGTACTAGTAGAAGAAGCAGATTGCATTTGTATGTGATCACTTTAGTTTTAATAGATAATAGATTTGTGTTAGTAAACTTCATCATAAACAAGTGATGGTAATGTAATGCCTTTTGATGTAACATTTATATGTGTTCTGCAGGTCCGTTATTTCACCCACCACAGTGTAAAATACTTCTGGAATGATACCCTTCACAATTTTGATTTTTTAAAGTAAGTATTCTTCCTTTGTTTGGATTATATTATGAGTATCTTGAAAATGTTCTAGATAAAAAAAGAATTCATTTTAATGTTACATAAAATCAAAGAGGAGTTTATTGCATAACTTTTATTCACTTAATAAAAACTCCCTATTGTTATTTGAATGCTTATTAACCATTTGAGGGTAAAGCCTACTTGTAACTTTTACCTTGGCAAAATTTACATAAAAGTTTGAAACAGTATGATTCTCCAAATCTACTCCGAGTTGGAGTTCTTTTCTTTTTATGGATTCATTTCAGAGTGAATTTTGAGTACATTCTGCAGCCTGTCAGAATACCTGAATTCTCATTTCCCAACTTGCCGATAGTTCCATCTATTTATCCTTGAGAGAAAGAGTCATAGATCAACAGAAGTTTAACTTTACTATGTGGATAAAGATTCAGACATTGTCAAATGTGTTAAACCTCAAGTAGGACAAATTGGAGGAATCCCTTAAACTGTATTTATTGTGAAGGCTTCGAATTATGCAAGTACTTGGATATTTAGGATTCTGTTTTTATTTCTATTGTTGAAGTGATTATTATAAACACTCATTAAGTATCATTACTTGAGTGCTGAAGGAATTTTTAATATTAGTAATCTAAAGAGAATCACCTTATGAACATTTAATATTCATGCCTGGATTTTTTTCCTCAGACACTAAAGAATTGGAATACTCTGGAATAGCCCTGGGCATTTCCACATGCTTAGTTCTGAAGACCATTCCTAATTAAGAACTATTGCCTTGTAGAACACTGCCAGTGAGCTGCCATTTTGTTTTTTAAAAAAAGACTTGGAGCTGATCTTTGCTGCTTTTGAGAAGTTACCAGCTAAAGTTGGAAAAAAATTTCAAACCTATTTGCCATGTGGCGTTTGCCAACTGTAGAAACTCGCAGAATTTAAACTTTTCCCAATGATAGCTGTTCATTATGGAGCTTAGTTTTTCTACCTGAAAAAAGTAGAAAAGGATTAGAGTTAAGTGATGTACAAAACTTTCCTTAGAGTGCTGTGACCAGTATCTCAGTTAAAATAAGCATAATTAAGACATTTTTGGGGAAAAGTAGATCTGTTGGTTGAATCCAGTTAGAACTGTGAACAGATTTTAGGCAATGCCTGTGACTTATATAAATTTTGTACTTCTCTTTTAGGTTTGTATTAGAAGAGGGACAGATTTGGATTGATGCTTTTATTGAAAGAAAAATCAATGAATAGGATTTTTTAGCGTGAAGCTTAAAAAATTGAAGAGGGAAAATTACATAGATAAAAAGTAAAAAAAGATTTTACTTTGGAATTCTCACATTAGTCATACTTTAGTTTTATTAGTTTAATTATTAGCTCCTGTAGCTTTGGTACAACCTTAAAAGATAATAATATTATTACATAAACTTGAGTATTTATAGCCATTTTATCATGTGATAGATACATTGGATCACTTAGAATTTGCACATTTGAGAATTAGAACTTTAATTATTGTTTATCTTGGGAATTGGAGATTTAAAAATTCTCATTCATTATCTCAGTTTTTGTTAAAGGTTTCTATTTGTAAGGAAGTCACACTTTAAAATCAGGAATATAGAAAAATGAGGCATTAAGACATTTGGATATTTTAAACTTTGTTTAAAGTAAAAACTTTGGATTTATTTAGGGGACTGGATGAAGGTGTTTCTTGTACGTCAATTTATGAAAAGCATAGTGCAGGACTGACAAAGGGGATGCATGCCTACAGGTAATTTTTATCCAACTAAAGTTAGACCTGTTATCAAAGTTCCTAAATAAAGTAGTATATGTAGTCCATCCTTTTACCGTATAGTTGTACATATTCACAGGTATTTATAGAGATAGTAGTTGACAGCTTATATTTTATTTGGGTAAGACTGTCTCTTAGTTTAAGAATTATGAAAATGTTGAAGCTGGAATTTTGAAGGTGATATCCCTGAAAATATACCATATTTCATCAATTCCAAGCGGCACATTTTTCCACATTTTAACCTAATCTAAAGTAGAGATGTGTCATGTTGGGTGCAGTGTTTTCCTTGAGAGCATTTTTGTCTTGATGGCATGTAAAATAATGAGTGTGTCTTATAATTGATGGCATCTTAGATTTTCTGAATTGTATTGGGAATTGTAAGCATGAGCTAAAAATTTACCACAATGAATATTTTAAATTGGGATGCATAATCTTTTTTAATCATGTTATTCTTTGCTACAGTGTAAAAATATACTGGCATATTGTATATTTTGAGGATAATTATCATTTTCAAATTGAATTGGCAGTTTTTTTATACTCCTGGCTTTTTTCAGTAGGTTAGGATACTAAAAATTTAATTCATTCAGACTTATTCAGAACTACTCATTACTCTTTCATATGGAAAGTACTACTAGGAGTTTAAGTTGGAAGGATTTAAAAAACTTTTGAAAACTTTTTTAAGTCAAATGTATAGTTTTTGAAATAAATATTTTTAGTATAATATTCTCATTAGAAAAATAGTACAGGACCTCTCAAATATATTTTAGTCTCTTGTAAAAATTAATCGCAATTCAAAGTTTTTGATTCCTGCTGTGTTCAAGGATGAAAAAGAAAGCATTTGCAGACATGGTTATTATAGACTAGTGGGAAAGATACTCGTCACACAGAGATAATGAGGCAGAATGAAACAACAGTATAGTTACTTTGTTTTAAATACTGTAGGTAGAGAATTGAATTGTAGAAGACAAGTATGTAGAAACATGAATGTTTAAGTTCCATATTTAAGAGCAATCTGTGGTTTGAACCTTACCTAATGAAATGCCATCCCTAAGTTATACTGTTATTATATAATATAATGTAACACTATTATTATGTTTTCCTGTTATAGAAAATTGCTTTATGGAGTAAATGAAATTACTGTGAAAGTGCCTTCTGTTTTTAAGCTTCTAATTAAGGAGGTAAGACAACATTTGTGATCAGTAGGGTTGTCAATTTGGAAAGAGCTATGATTTTTAAGTAATATAATATTCTTGGTTTTCTCTTAGTTTCCCCCTCACTCTTTTTTTTTCTTTTTTTTCTTTTTTTTAAACTTGAAATGTAAAAGTAGTTGGTAGAGAAATAATTTGGGGGCATAAATTACCTTTTTATTAGTTACCTTATTTTTTGTTTTGCTTTGTTTGCCTGTGCAATTTTTTTTTTACTCTCAGTATGTTGCACATGTAAATCTTATAGATGTATGCAGCTGTCTTATCATGTTTATTTTTCATGTGGTGTTTTGTAGTGCATTTTTGGGAACTAGGCATTGTGCCATAAGTTTAGAATACAAAACGTGACCTGATGATTGACATTGACGAACTTGTACTTTATCCTGGGAGGGAAACGGGTCAATAGTTATTGCAGTGAGAGCTCAGTTCTAGGTGCCATTGAAGAGCTGTGAATAAAGTTACATATGTAAAGGAAGGACGTACAGGATTTTGCCTGGCAGAGTTAGGCTCTCTAGTCTTCCTTTCGATTTATGGCTAAAGATCAAGAGTTGGGTGAATACCTTCAGTAAATGTTACAGATTGTTTTCCCTCAGTTCCTGAGAGTGCCCGTATAATGTTGTTGTGCAACATAGCAGATTGTAGTGATTAGGAATTAGAAAGTCTGGTTTGTAATATAATCCCATCAGTAACTAGCTTTGATCATCAGAAAACCTTTCTGCTGCTCCTTTATACAATTGGCCGAAGTCCTTTAAAATTATCTTGTTTAATTTTGAAGTAAAATGGGACTATATATGTGAAAGTGCTTTGAAAAGCGTACAAGCATCAATTTTAAGACATTTGGGGGAAGTTATTAATAAAATTGATAGGATACTGTTAAATTTGGCTAAACAAAGTCCATTGCCAGGATTCCCTTATCTCTTTTTTCTCATTTAGGTTTTAATCCTTATTTCCTTAGAGAATGCAAAGCAGTGTAACTTATTATCTCATATTTGTCTTCCTGGAGACTCCAGTGAACCTTTGACTTATAGGAAAATTGGTATTTGGAGTTCATAATAAGTAAACATTTGTTCAATTTAATTAAGAATTTTATATCCTTTAGTAGCCCGGTAATTATTGGAAGCAAATGTACTTTATTGCTGAAGCAGAATGAAGAACAGCTAAATACACACATTTTAACTATTTCTAGCTTAGTCTTTATTGGGTTTGGTATGTAACTAAATGGATACAAATAATTTAAATTAAGCTTATTTAGCCAAGTCCTAGTAGGTTAGTGGTAAAAAAAGTACTTTGCTAACATCTTGCCTTATTCTTTTAGTAGTACATTTTGCCCTAGGGCACTACAGAGCTTATCCTCTAAATATCTTGTTTATTTCTTAATGAAAAGGTGGAACATCTGTATGATTATAAGTTTGACTTAAAAATCTTGTTTTTTAGGTTCTCAACCCATTTTACATTTTCCAGCTGTTCAGTGTTATACTGTGGAGCACTGATGAATACTATTATTATGCTCTAGCCATTGTGATTATGTCTATAGTGTCAATTGTAAGCTCTCTGTATTCCATTAGAAAGGTAAGTCCAATTTATTATGGCTTTCACAACTGTGTATTTTGTAGTAACATGTAAAGTGTGTAGAACAGTACTTGGTACAGAGTAATACTCAGTATAGTTATTCTTTTAATTATATGAGTATGTACTTCTTCCCTCTCTTTCTTTCTTCCTTTTTTTTTTTTTTTTAAGGATTTTATTTATTTATTTAACAGAGATCACAAGTAGGCAGAGAGAGACGGAGAAGCAGGCTCTCTGCTCAGCAGAGAACCCAATGCGGGACTCGATCCCAGGACCCTGAGACCATGATCTGAGCTGAAGGCAGAGGCTTTAACCGACTGAGCCACCCAGGCGCCCCTCCCCTCTCTTTCTGAGGTGGGGGGAGGCGGTTGCTTTTTAGAGTTAAACTACCACTTGACTGCTTAGAGGCCATAGGGATCTATAGGTACTTACCACAGACTGGAATACTGGAGGGCTTATTCTGTTGTTTGCAGGACTGTCTCATTAAAGTGCATCTTTTTTTGTCTTGAGCTCATCATTCAATAACTTTGAATCTTTTAGTCTTGGCATTAATGGCAGAGTAATATGTATTTGCCATATTAACTTACCTTATTTTATGGCACCCTTTTTAATATATCTTGAAGAGTGGGTTTATATTAGCTAGTTTTTACATTTTTTTTTTCCTATTTCAGCAATATATTATGTTGCACGACATGGTGGCAGCTCACAGTACTGTGAGAGTTTCAGTTTGCAGAGTGAATGAAGGTAAGTACTTAAGGTAACTCTCGGAAAAATAAACCAAATAGGATACCCATTAAGCACTAATAACTAAAGCAAGACTAATATATTATACATACACATTCTTTTTTTTTTTTTTTGTAAGATTTTATTTATTTGAGAGAGAGCGTGTGTGCGTGTGTGTGTGTGTGCCTGCACGTGTGCGTGCACGAGTGCAGGGAGGGGCTGAAGAAAAGGGAAAGAGATTTGCTGAGTGGGCAGCTCCACGTGGGGCTGGATCCCAGGATCCTGAGATAATGACTTGAGCCAAAGTCAGACACTTAACTGTCTGAGCCACCCAGCACCCCTGAGCCCCTATACATTCATTTTTTAAGAAGTAAAAAAAAGTGTTTGGATTTGTATTGCTCTCTGAGGGTGTATCAGATTCATTCCTGTAAAATGGCATTTTTCTTTTTCTTACTGTGTGACAGGTACTGAGATGTAATCACTGAGATGCAGTCATTACAAGATGGACACTGCTTGTTGTCATTGAACGTCAGTCTAGTTGAAAAGGCATAGTAACAAAGTGTGACAGATGCGAAGATTAGAGGTAGGGGAATTTAGATACTAGAGCTCGCTTATTGTAGGTGTCAGAGATGGCTTCTTGGAGAAAGTATCTTTAAGTGGTTGAATTAGTCAGATAAGAGGTAGGTGAGGGGGCTGGTGAGAGAGGGAGAGAAGAGGGTTTTAAGTGCCCAGTCTTCTGGAAATGAGAGGGAGCTTGGTCACTGTAATAACTGAAAGAAATTCAGTGTGCCAGGTGCAGCAGCTAGATGATGGACAGCCATCTAAGGCATGTTAAGGAATTTGAGCTCATTTCAAAAGGCAGTGGAAAGCCAGTGAAGGGTTTTTAAGCAGAGGAGTGATTTGATGTTTTCCTTTTTGCAAAAATCATTCTGTCTGTTGTGTTCAGATGGGTTTAGAGAAGAGTAATGTTGAAGGCATGAAATGGATCAAGGTGAAGGTTGTGGAGATGGAGAAAAATGAGGTGGGGCTGAAAGATACTTAAATGTGGGCATTGAACTGGATTTAATAATTCATTGGATGTGAGGTGATAGAGCAGTGTCAGGCTTGACGGATGGACATTAGTGTCATTTAATTAAATAAGGAACACTGGAGGAGAAGCAGTGTTGTAGGAAAGGATAATGTTTTGGATACATTAGTTAGTCTGGTGTGATACTGAAGAAGTGTTAAAGGACATAAAGGAGAGACAACACAGCAGCATGGGCCTTGGAAGCACTGGCCATTTTGATTGATTGAGAATACCAAATCAGTCTCCATTCTCTTGGCTCAGTACACTACGTCCAAGCACAAACATGGTTTGGCCTGGCAGGTGCTTCCTCCCTGTGCTTCCTGGTCACTTGCTGCTCTTTTTAGTTGGAAGTATCTCTCTTCTCTGTTGGTGCTCGCTCATCCTCTTACTGCTCTGCTGCTGCTGAAGGCACTGGGGATGCCAGCACTTTGCAATCAACTCATGTTTTCTTTACCCCTCTGTAAAGGCTAATGAGTCTTGGTATTTTGTTTCCTGGTATACCTGAGAGGTGTAGACTTTCACAAGTGGCATTAAAGTTTTGAAAGAGTCATGTTTATTTAAAAATGAAAAGTATGATGCCTAGTATGTGCTTTTACTATCATTAGAATTCTTCAGAAGTTGTTTCCTCATAGTTTAGTTAAAGGGAAAGAAAGGCAAAGAGTTTTTGCCCATAGCCTAACATCACAAATAATAGTTTTCTCTTTACATGCAAACTAGCAGAACTCTTTCCTCAGGATAGTATTAAGCCTAAGAGAAGGAAAGAATGAGAGAGAGAGTCTAAATGTAAGACAGTCTTAAAGAAAACCCTCCTTTTACTTGGGAAGCTCTTCTTAAAGAGTGTTTGGCTAAATTGAATATAATACAGATTTCCAAGGAAATGAACTAGATAAAATAATGTAGTGTTATAAATTTATTTAAAATAGACCTAAAATATTAGGACTATTTAGGAATATTGAGAAGGTATTGGAACGTTATGAGTTTTAAATAGTGGCAGTGAGAAAAAGGTGTAAAAAAATTGCTGTTAAAAAAGAAAATACACGGGGCACCTGGGTGGCTTAGTGGGTTAAAGCCTCTGCCTTCAGCTCAGGTCATGATCCCAGGGTCCTGGGATCGAGCCCCGCATCGGGCTCTCTGCTCAGCAGGGAGCCTGCTTCCCCCTCTCTCTCTGTCTGCCTCTCTGCCCATTTGTGATCTCTGTCTGTCAAATAAATAAATTAAAAAAAAAAATACACTGGGGTGCCTGGGTGGCTCAGTTGGTTAAGCATCTGCCTTTGGCTCAGATCACGATCTTGGGAGTCCTGAGATCGTGTCCTATGTTGGGCTCCCTACTCAATAAGGAGCCTGCTTCTCCCTTTCCCTGTCCCCCTCCCCCCACCACTCGTGCTCTCTTTCTCAAATAAATAAAATTTAAAAAAAAATACACTAAAATTGTCAATGCTTTCTGTTGTTTCCAAGGAGTTTTAGAAATCTAAGCTTATTTACCTGTTGGGATCTCATGCTTGGGCTCTGTTTTCTAAGATGGCTGTTGTACTGAGTATTGCCGTCCGGCTGCCTGTTTGGTCAGAGGGGACTTGGCATCACCTGGGTGCAGTTGGCATCCTGTCAGGGAACAAACTGTCTGACATACTTAAACACCATGCTTTGTTACCCTAAGGCATAATAATCTTGTCTTATTTTCGTGTATTGAGATTGTCCTGTTTAACTTCATTATATTTTTAACTTAGCATTGAGGTCAGTTTACCTTCAGGCAGATCTTTTATTTACTCTGTTTTTATTTCAAGTTAAAGAATATTCACATTTCTCCTTTTCTTTCTTTAAATCCAGAAATAGAAGAGATCTTCTCTACAGACCTTGTGCCAGGAGATGTTATGGTCATTCCATTGAATGGGACAGTCATGCCTTGTGATGCAGTTCTTATTAATGGTACTTGCATTGTAAATGAAAGCATGTTAACAGGTAAACTAAATGAGTAAAAATCAGATCAGTTGTTTATAGTGATATGAAGATTTAAGTAGTTACTGATTAAACTATTTAAAAACTATTTTGTATCTATAACTAAAACTGTATTATTTATATTTACTCATGAATGTGATGGATAATGAAGATTTTTTTTATTTTGAAGAGAGCAAATTCTGCGTTATACTCAGTTGTGGTACTAAATCATTATGCTGGTGTTCTCTACATTTTTGGGCATACTTCTTTTGACATGAGGAAATACTTTATAGTAAGGGAAGAGGAATTAGAAATATGTCCTTTGCCTGCAGAGAGTGTCAGCATATTTACTTCCCTATTTGATGTGTAGAAAGTGGGAATAAAGATTTTATGTTTTCCTTAAACTGTGGGAAAGTAGACTTTGAAATGACTTCTGTTTGGAAATTCATAATCTGAAGGTAGAATTTGATACCTTTTTATGTTTTCTTTATTTTTTGTCAGAGTCAATCTGGAAAGAAGTGATTGCTATGTTTTAAAATTGTTAAAAGAGTTTTCTCTTAAAACACAGTCAACAAATATCCCCACGTACTTGTCACCTTTGAAACAAGAAATGTGAATGCTACAGAGAATTAAAATTTAATGTTGAAAAGAATTTGGCAGTTTGTTTTTGAGAGGACTACCATACTACGTATTTTCTCTACTCCCTTTCCTAGATGCCTTTTCTCTTCTCTGTGTGTGTGTGTGTGTGTGTGTGTGTGTATAATGGGGGTAGGAGTAGGTGTTCACATCTGGGTGTGCTTGAGGCTGTAGCGTGCTTCTCAGTTCAGTTTTTGGGGATCAGTGAACAGATGCTGGGGCCGTGGCAGCTGCCTGGTCTTTTTATCTGAAACTTGACAAAATCATTTCCAGATTATTACTTTAACTCACAGCTCACTTTCAGGAATTATTGTGAGAGATAAGACTTGATATTTTTGGTTAAGGAAATTGATAGAAAGCTAATTGAGTAAGTTTTGTTATCCTCATATGAGAACTCCCAGTAACTATTGAAATAGTATAATAACATTTAGGTTATTTTACAATTCAAGATTTGTGCATTTGATACTGATTTGTGTGCTTTATGATTTTTTTTTTTTTTTTTAAAGGAGAGAGTGTTCCAGTGACAAAGACTAATTTGCCAAATCCTTCAGTGGACATAAAAGGAATGGGAGATGAATTCTATAGTCCAGAAATACATAAACGACACACTTTGTTTTGTGGGACTACTGTAATTCAAACTCGTTTCTACACTGGAGAACTTGTCAAAGCTGTAGTAGTTAGAACAGGTAGAAAACATGACATCTCTTCTTGCATGGTTTAACGTATTTGATGCCTACTGAATGTTTAAAAAGAGATTCTGTTTTGGGAGATAATTCTCATTTTCTTATAAAAATACAGTAATTTTCTTCTTTAAATTTTTTTAAAGGATTTAGTACTTCCAAAGGTCAGCTTGTTCGTTCTATATTATATCCCAAACCAACCGATTTTAAACTCTACAGAGATGCCTACTTGTTTTTACTGTGTCTTGTGGCAGTGGCTGGTATTGGATTTATCTACACTATCATCAATAGCATTTTAAATGAGGTATGTAAATGGTGAACTTTAAATAGAGTTTGATTCTTATGTGGCTGCTGAGGGTTTGAAATGTGGCTAATGAGAATAAAGAACTATACTTTTGACTTAATTTAAATTAACCAAATGAAACTGGTAGCTGTTCCTTTAGAATGTGCAGATATAGAACATTTTCGTCATAGCAGAAAGTTCTTTGGGACAGCTGTGGTTTAGGTGGTCTTTTTCTTGTTCTCTTGTGACTTTAGAGAGGGAGGGTGATCACATACTCACCAAAGGTTTATTTTTTCTCTTTTTTTACCTTCTGGGATATACAGCATTAAAGTTATTTGCGATTACTTAATTGAAGGTATTTCTAAGAGACCTTGTCAAATTTCCCTTTCCATTCCCTTTAGAGACAGGCATAGTACGATGCTGTTATTAAGAGTCATTGTCTGATAGATGTGTATTGAACTTTGAAGTGTGTAGTGTGTGACGCATATAGAGCTCTTAAAATGAGAACCCTTAAAGATAGCTTTCATTCCACAGTCCATTGACAATTCACTGAGCTTCCTATTTTACAGCCTCTAAAGGGAAGAGGAATTGTAAATGGTTGATGAATGTAACTCTATACACCTTTATATGTAAAATTGAAAATGGTTTATGGATTCTTCACATTAGATTAGTAAATATTTGATATGGGGGGAGGTCCTGACATTGATTTTTGTGTTAATTGTAGGTAGAAATTGGGGTAATAATTATCGAGTCTCTGGATATCATTACCATTACTGTGCCACCTGCGCTTCCTGCTGCAATGACAGCTGGTATTGTGTATGCCCAAAGAAGACTGAAAAAAATTGGTATTTTCTGTATCAGTCCCCAAAGGATAAATATCTGTGGACAGCTGAATCTTGTTTGCTTTGACAAGGTTGGTTCAGTTTCGTAATCATTCTCAAAGGTTGCTTTCGTGGCTTTTAAATACTTAGATTAAGGTTTTCTGTATGTATTCTCTATCAACCAATTTACACTGATTGTTTAATGTTCCTCTAATAGTCCTCTTTTTCAACTTTCTTGGCACATGAATGATTTTTGTATATTTCTTCTCACTGCTTTTTTTTTTCTTTTTTGATTTTAAATACTTTGGATATTGCTTATTTGCCCAAACCTGCAATTGTCTAATCATTCATATCCAGAATTATGCCATATAGTAGTAGTCAAAATTACATGATCTTTTATGTTTTTAACAGAGTAAGCTCCATACAGATATATTTACTGGAATCTTATTGGTGTTATGTATATATGTTTAGTTAAAGTTTGCTCTGTGATTTTATTGAATGTTTCAAAATTATGAAGGTCACTGATCTTATTTGAAAGTGACAAATTACGTACCTGTGTGAAATATTCCTTGCCTCTTATAAAGAATTTTTCTTCCTCTGCTGAAATTAGTTTTCTTAAAAGTTTTATTTTGAGAATTAAATATTAACCAAGAAACCTCCCATCAAGCTCTTCTTGATAACTGATACGATAGGTATATGATTTTGTGCATGTTCACCGTTGAAGGAAAAAAACGTGAGACATTTTGTTTTTTAAAAAAGTCAAATCCTGGAGCACCTGGTTGGCTCAGTTGGCCGAGCGTGCGACTCTTTGATCTCTGGGTTTGAGTTCGAGCCCCATGTTGGGCATACAGATTATTTAAAAAAAAAAAAATCATATCCCATGACTGCATTTCATATTTATCTGTTTGAAAAATTTCACTTATGCGTTTTGGAAAACATTACTATTAAAATTTTTAAATGGTTAACAGAAGTGGAGAAGATAAAAGTATAAAAAGCCTTCATTTATCCATTGCCCAGCTTTAATGGTTAATCAGCATTTTGTCAGTCTACTTCATCTGTCCCCACATTTTGAAGGTGGTACCATCAGACATTGTTTCACCCAGTATACTTCAGTTTTATCTCTAGAAGATGTTGCCCCCCCCAAAATTATTGCAATAGCATTATCTTACTCCACTTAACAAAATTAATAATTCTTGGTTTATCTAATATTTAGTTCTCATTCAGATTTCCTTTTCTTTCACAAAAAGTGCCTCAAATTTTACAATTTGTCTTTTCTATCAGAATCCAAATAATGATTGCATTGATTATAATTAATCTGTAACAGTTGCTTTTCTTGCCCCTTGACCTAAATCATCTTATTAAAGAAACCAGGTCGTTCACATCCTGGATTTAGCCAGTTGCTTCCTCTTGGTGTCATTTAACTTGTTCCTCTTCCATTTTTGGCTCCCTCTGTCCTAATGTCTCCTTCCTGTATGTAGGCCTTTATTGAATGATAGGTTGATTGGTATGTTGTTCTGTTTTTTTCGTAATACAAGCACATAAACATATGGTTCAACACCTTGCTCCCCCACCTGTCCAGAGGAACAGTACTGTAAGGAATGTTCTGCACCTTTTCCCTAACTTTAGTTATTTCTTGGAAGTTAATCTTTATAATATACAGAGATCTTACTAGTTTCCTTTGTTGACAGCTGTATTCTATTTTACTGTGTATATGTAGCGTAACTTTTTGTGGTTTCTGTTCTTGGAGGACTTACTCATAATTTGTACATGTGTGCTTTTTTTTCTTTTTAAAGACTGGAACTCTTACTGAAGATGGTTTAGATCTTTGGGGGATTCAACGAGTGGAAAATACACGGTAAATATCAGCTAGATTTGATCATTTATTAGTTACTTCTTAATAAGTATCTTAAATATGAAATATTCAAACAAAGTAATATGACATCTGTGTGCCCAGTACCAAGATTAAACAGTTAAGGGCGCCTGGGTGGGTCAGTGGGTTAAGCCTCTGCCTTCGGCTCAGGGCATGGTGTCAGGGTCCTGGGATCAAGTCCTGCATCAGGCTCTCTGCTCAGTACGGAGCCTGCTTCCTAACCGCGTGTGCCGCCTTCCCCTCCCCCTGGTCAGGTAACATTGATAGATCTCTCTCTGTCAAATAAATAAATAAAATCTTAAATCTTAAAAAAAAAAAAAAAAGATTAAAAGTTAACATTTTGTCATATGGCTTCAGATCTCTTTCAAAAAGATATAAAATATTGTAGATATTGCAAAAGTCTTAATCTATTCCTGCAATCATTCTGAAGTTGTGTTCTCTTACTATCTTTGCATGTTTTTATATTTTCTCTACATTCACATCTGTCTCTAAACAAGACCTGTCTGTTAATAAACGTACATGACTGATATACTGTACATCTTTTCACTTTCTTTGCCTCTTTAACATTGTTTTCAAGATTTGTCCAGGTTGGCATGTATAGATACAATTTATTAATCTTAACTATTGTTTAATATTCCATGATAGGAATGCACCATAGTATCTATTCTACGATGGGGCAGTTTCATTGTTTTCTCCCTTTCCCCTTTCACAGCTAGTGCTGCAATTTCAGTTCTTCTGTACAACTCCTGGTGAGCATGTGGTTGAGTTTCAGTAAACTAGCTTCATAAAGATGTGGGTGCTGGGTGATAGGGCACCTGCATGGCTTCACGATTAGTAGAGACTGCCTAGTTACTCCCTAAGTGATGCTGCTCACACTCTCTCCCTTCGGACATGTAAGATCCCGTTGCTCCAGTCCTTGGCGAACTTGGTATTGTTAGACTTCTCATTATTGCCACAAGGATATCCAAAATGGTCTTTCACTGGGCTCCTTGCAGTTTCCTCAGTACTTAATAAGCCAATCTTACTTTCACCTTTTTGGAAGGATGGTCTTTGAGCATTCTTCCGTGTATTGTCAGTTTGTATCTTGGCACAATTTTTCTGTTGTGTTCCTAGTCTTATATCTTATTTATTAGAAGTCCTTTGTATTTTTGGGTGGTAATCTTTTTCAGTACTATGCATTGCAAAAATATTCCAACAGTCTGTCTGGTTTTTTTACTTCTGTTTTTGTTGTCTTTTGATGGCTTAGTTGTTCTATGTCATTTTTCCCCCTCAGAAGTCTGTGGGATTTAGGTTTGTAGTTGGAGAGAATATTGTTTGGTTCATGTAATTTCAGAGTTGTTATATCTTCTTGATTAGTAGTGTGTCACATTGTGACATTGTGACCTTATTTCTCCCTAATGCGTTCTGCCTTAATTCCATTTCATCTTAAATTTCTACAGTTACACATCCCGGCCTTCTTTGGTCTAATGTTTGCCCAGTGTGTCGTCTTTTCCATCGCTTTGCTTTTTAATCTTCCTGTGCTGTTGTGTTCCCATTTGTAATTTCAGATATATTGGGACTTATTTCTATAAATCCTCGCCCCAGTTCACACACACATTTTCTCAAATTTCTCTTTCGTATTTGCGTACATTTTCTCAGAATTTATACATTTTAATCTTTTACTGCTTGTCCTTAAATTATTAATGGTCGTCTTTAGTGTCTTAAGTTCATGGGTGTCTTTATTGGGTTTCTCTACCCCCCAGGAAACCCACGGACTGTAGAGTACTTTTTTGATTATTCCCCTCCCTTATTTCTATGTATTTGTTGCACAGTATTTTATGATTAGGACTTGGGTTTTATACCCTGCATGCTGAGATTTCCCTCAGTTCAGGACTGTCTTTGCCAACCTCTGCTGCTTCGGTCCCACTCCCCTGGACCGCATTGTCCTCTTCTGCAGCTGCATTTATTGGTGATGCTTCCGTTTTCACTTCTGAAGGATGGCGTAGCTGTGTAGCTTTCCAGGGTGTCAGTGGTTCTTCGAGCGCTTTGATGGTGTGATTTCATTTCTCCCGACTCCTTTTCTTACTCTTGTTTTAAGAATACTTCTTTATCCTTGATTTTTGCAGTCTCTTTTTATTTGTGTAGGACTCATTTGCTTCTTGATTCCAAAGATTCATGCTTTTCTTAAATTCTGGAAAAATTGCAGCTTTTTTCCCTATTCTATTATGACCTTTCCCCCATTCTTTGTTTTCTCCATCTGGGAATCCTAACCATAGGTTAAATAAGAAACTGCATTTGGTTCTTTGTAAATCTGATTTTCCTCCTTTCCCCCCCACCGTGGGGTTCTTTTTCTGTCTTAATTTAAAAGTGCCCCCCCCTTTTGCATTCTTTCAGATTGCCATTCTATTATCTCAAACTTATGGGATTCTAATTCTGTCTTTGTTGTGTCTGTTGAGCCATGGGAATGTTTCCCAGTGCATTTTTAAATTATGGACTTGGGCTTAGAAGAATTTTTCTGTGCGATTTCTTTGTGGCTGTGTTGTGGGAGCTCCTCTTTAGAGAATATTGACTGTGCTTGGCCGAGAGTGGTATCAGTGGTGCCAGGTGAGCTTTAATGTTGCTTTCATAACCTGAGGCTTTCTGGACCTGCAGTAGCTGTGTTCAAACCCAGATCCTCTCCTGAACGGTGTAGTGGTTCAGAGTTGAGGCCCTAAAGCCAGACCTCCTGTGTTTGAATCCTTGCTCTGCCACTTAACATACTTTGTAACCTTGGAAACTTACTTCACCTTCTGTTTCAGTTTCTGCATCTGTAAGATGGGGACAATAAAGCCTATTCCTCTGGTGTGAGGAGAACATGAATCAGATATGTTTAAAAAAGTTAGTAGAACGGTGTCTAGTACATAGTAAATATTATACAGATATTAACTATTTTCTTGAACTTTGTGGGGGGGGGGGAGAAATTAAGCTTATTCTTAGTTATGCCTTTGGTTGTGTAGTCCAAGATGCTCCATTTTTTTAGTTAGTATATCCTTTTTCCAAGGATGCTTTTCAGGAGCACTGGCTATTTTTGGTGAAAAAGATCCTCTCAGTTTGAACTCCTCACTTTGTACCTGGCCAGGACTTTGTCTTCTGTTTCTGTGTAGGTATTAAAGCCCAGGGCCTTAGGGTACTGAGCTGGCTCCCTTCCCTTCCTCCTCCCTTGTAGAACTCTGGTTCATACTCCTCTGTTTTCCTTTCCTTCCATTTTTGGCACTTGAAAATTTCCTTATCTTGATTACGAGCTTGGTTTCCCATTGAAAAGATCATGTTACACATTCATTTTGTGTTTTTGCAGAAGAGATTTTATGTATTCTGATCTATCATATGCCATAGGCAGGAATTTTAATTATTTGGTATCTGGTATTTTCTCTCTTGGTTTGTCTGGCATTATTATTTAGAATCTTTGGTAATATGGTATTTTAGTTAAGTATAATTTACATGGAAGAAAATGTTTTTGAATGTCAAAAACTATAGTGAAAATACATGCAGAAATGCAAAATTTTATTTGCATATTTTAATTTTATAAAACAGTATGTATAGAATATTTATTGTCTTGAGACTTATGAATCTAATTCAGTACATTTTCTGTTTAGTTTCCTTTTGCCAGAAGAAAATGTTTGCAAAGAAATATTGGTAAAGTCTCAGTTTGTTGCTTGTATGGCTACTTGTCATTCACTCACAAAGATTGAAGGAGTGCTTTCTGGTGATCCACTTGATTTGAAAATGTTTGAAGCCATTGGATGGGTAAGTTCAATATTTTAAAGCACAAGTAACTTTAAGAAAAATAATAGTAAAAACTACCTTGCAGAAGGAGATTGTTTCTGTTAGTTGTTTTGATGGTACCATTAAAGGAACTAGGTAATTTCCAAAGATACATCCTTACAAAAAGATTCATAATTCTGTAAAAAAAATAAAAAAAAGTGTCTGTTATAGGTAAATTAACTCACTTAAACACCTTTAACAGAGGACGACCTGCTCAGGTGCCTGCTTTATGTTTATAGCAGAAGTCAGCTCTCACCAACTTGGGGTAGTAGGCTCTAGTCGGTAAGATGATCTTCAGCAGCAACAGTTGTTGACTACAGGTGGAAAGTACAGCCAGCCAGGTGTCTTCAGTGTTTTTTTGTCGCCATTTTCTATGTTCAGTGTTTAGAGACACACACACACACACACACACACACACACACACACGTACGTTTATTTGTTTATGGCTTTCTGTTTGTTGTTGGTGATCATTTTAATTTGAGTGCTTGCTGTGTTTTCTGGTTATCACTTCACAGCATTGAGTTCTTTTACAGATGCAATAATGAGCTTGGTTTTGAAGTTCCCTTCTGACTTCTGAATTAATTATTTTCTCTGCATCAGTTTTCTTTTCCCCCTCCCTATACTTGGTTTTTTCCTTCATGCTTTTGGTTTTCATTATACATCTAGATGGTACTTCCATGTTTAAGAATGAAGGTTTGATTTGATAATTCTGGGTAGTTAGGATTTTATTCTTGCCTGTAGTGTGTTAGCTTGTTTTCTTGAGATGTGTCTCCCCTGAGGGGGAAGACTGACCAAGGGGAGTCCTGAGGGTGAGGGCTCCAGTGGGCGTGCCTCAGTCCAGAGGTGCAGAGTTACTTTACTAGCCTTTTAGGTTGCTCTCCTCACCTGCTCCCACAATGCTTGCCCTGGCGGAGCTGTGTTCTGGAGTGCTGATGCTCCCATTAGCAGCCCTTCTTCCTCCCAGGTAGGTAGTTTGTATCTCTAGGTGGTGACCCTGGTTTTCTTTTTTTTTTTGGCTTAGCTCCACTCTGGCTGTTCAGAAATGTACCTTTCCTGTATGTCCACTTGTATTTATTCTGGGCTACTACTGTTTCTTTCATTGGTATATCCATCAGTATGTTTCAGTTTGCCTTTTATATTTATATTTGAAATCCTTTTCCTTTTTTTTTTTTTTTAAAGTTTCTGTTTACTTCTGTAGGTTTATTTATTTGGTTATTTATTTATTGGTATTTTGGTTAATGTCTTGACAGGGAGAGAGATGAATGGCTGGCCATCTTCTGATAGCCCAAAATAAATGCTTACCAAATTTAATTCCCAAAAGGCTTACAGAGAAAAATTTAAGAGTAAGGCAGAATAAGACTTATCAACTTTGATGTTCTCTAAAACTTCTCTCCAGCTGAACAGATTTTCAGTAGATTTAGTGTTCTGTTTGTAGGTCTTAAAAAACAACTGGTTTTATAATTAAGTTTGTACAATAGTATGTTTTGTTTACTCTGAGATGCCTCGATGTTTGAGCTTACCACAAAGTATCAATGGAATGTTTTCACATAACCAGACACTGCTGTTATGTGATGTGATCGATGCCATATAAGATATATTTCAATTTCAGAGATGTTAAAACATGTCTTGGTATCCAGTTGGTTAATTAGACACAGTTCCCTTCCCAGTCATTTTCCCATTGATTGATTCCTTCATTTTTAAGTCAAATTAGTTTATTGTTTCTTGTATATGTGTATTTAATACATGTTTTGTTGGAATTATTTCACGAAAAATAAGTGTTTTTAAATTAATTTTCAGGCAGTTAGGGTAGTAGTATCTTAACCAGAAATGTTCAGTCTGAAACACTAAACTCCAGTCTTTGTGCCTCGATATGTGCTTGATCTAGTGTTTCTGGTAACCATATATGAATTCCATATACTTTTATTATTTTTTTTAATTTAAATCCAATTTAGTTAACATATAGTATATTCTTAGTTTCAGGGGTAGAATTTAGTGATTCATCAGTTGCATATAATACTCAGTGCTGACTTATTTCCATCCATGTCATTGCAAATAGCAAGGTTTCATTCTTTTTGATGGCTGAGTAATATTCTGGTGTGTGTGTGTGTGTGTGTGTGTGTGTGTGTGTGTGTGTGTATGTGTATGTGTATACTACACGTACCACATTTTCTTGATACATTCATCTGTCGATGGGCAGCTGGGCTCTTTCCATATTTTGGTTATTGTGGACATTGCTGCTATAAACATTGGGGTGCATTGGGTGAAACATTGATTCATTGTTGTTTTATCCTTTGAATAATTACCTAGTAGTGCAATTGCTAGGTTGTAGGGTAGCTGTATTTTTAATTTTTTGAGGAACCTCCATACTGTTTTGCAGAGTGACTGCACCAGCTTGCATTCCCACCAACAGTGTAGGAGGGCTCCCCTTCCTCCGCATCCTTGCTAACATCTGTTTCCAGAGTTGTTACTTTTAGGCATTCTGACTGGTGTGAGGTGGCATCCCATTGTGGTTTTGATTTGTATTTCCCTGATGCCCAGTGATGTCAAGCATTTTTTCATGTGTCCGTTAGCTGTTTGTATGTCTTGGGAGAAATGTCTATTCATGTCTTCTGCCCATTTTCTTGATTGGATTTTTGTTTTTTTTAGGTGAGTTGTGTGAGTTCTTTATAGGTACTAGCCCTTTATCTGATAAGACCTTTGTGAGTATTTTCTCCCATTCCATAGGCTGCCTTTTAGTTTTGTTGCTTGTTTCCTTTGCTGTGCAAAAGCTTTTTATCTTGATGAAATCCCAATAGTTCATTTTTGCTTGCCTCTGGAGACAGGTCTAGCAAGAAGTTGCTGCAACTGAGGTCAGAGAGGTTGCTGCCTGTGTTCTCTAGGATTTTGATGGATTCCTGTCACATTTAGGTCTTTATCCATCTTGAATTTATTTTTGGCATGGTGTAAAAAAGTGGTCCAGTTTCATTTTTCTGCACGTGGCTGTCCAGTTTTCCCAACGCCATTTCTTGAAGAGACCGTCTTTTTTCCACTGGATTTTCTCTCCTGCTTTGTTGAGGATTAGTTGACCATAGAGCTGAGTTTCTCTATTCTGTTTCTCTATTCTGTTCCATTGATTTGTGTGTCTGTTTTTGTGCCAGAACCATACTGGGCTGTTTTCTGATTCCATACAAATTCTAGGATTGTTTGTTCCAGTTCTGTGAAAAATGCTCATGGCATTTTGATAGAGATTGCAGTGAATGTGTGGATTGCTTTGGGTAGTATAGGCATTTTAACAATATTTGTTCTTCAATCCATGAACATGGAATGTTTTTCCATTTCTTTGTGTCTCCCTCAATTTCTTTTATAAGTGTTCTTTAGTTTTCAGAGAAAAAATCTTTTAACTCTTTGGTTCGGTTTATTCCTAGGTATCTTAACGGTTTTTGGTGCAGTTGTTTGTTGAGTGGAATCAGTTACTTGATTTCTCTTTCTGTATAGAAATGCACCAGACTTCTGTGCATTGATTTTATATTTTGCCACTTTGCATTCTGCATACTGAATTCATGTATCAGTTCTAGCTGTTCTTTGCTGGAGTCGTGAGTTTTCTACATAGAGTATCATGTTGTCTGTGAAGAGTGGAAGTTTGACTTCTTCTTTACTGATTTTGGATTCCTTTTCTTTCTTTTTGTTGTCTGATGGCTGAGGCTAGGACTGCCAGTACTCTGTTGAATAACAGTGGTGAGAGTGGACATCCCTGTCATGTTCCTGACCTTAGGGGAAATGCTCTCAGTTTTTCCCTGTTGAGGGCGATATTTGGGTCTTTCATATATGGCTTTTATGATGTTGAGGTATGTCCATTTATCCCTGCATTGTGGAGGGTTTTATCGAGAAAGGATGCTGTACTTTGTCAAACGCTTTTTCTTCAGCTATTAAGAGGATCATATGGTTCTGGTCTTTTCTTTGATGTGGTGTATCACGTTGATTAATTTGTAGATGTTGAACCATCCCTGCCCAGGAATAAATCCCACTTGATTGTGACAAATAATCCTTCTTTTTTTTTTTTTTTTTTAAGATTTTATTTATTTATTTGAGAGAGAATGAGAGAGAGAGAAAACACGAGAAGTAGAGGGGCAGGGGGAGAAGCAGACTCCCTGCTGAGCAGGGAGCCTGATGCAGGATTCAATCCCGGGACTCTAGGATCATGACCCAAGCTGAAGGCAGTTGCTTAACCAGCTGAACCACCCAGGCACCTGTGAATAATCCTTTTAATATACGGTTGGATCCTGTTGGCTAGGATCTTGGTAAGGATTTTTGTATCCTTATTCATTAGGGATTTTGGTCCATAATTCTCCTTTTTGGTGGGGTCTTTTTCTGGTTTTGGGGTCAAGGTAATGCTGGCTTCATAGAATAAGTTTGGGTTTTCCTTCCATTTCTGTTTTTTGAAACAGTTTCAGAAGAGTAGGTATTAATTCTTCTTTAAATGTTTGGTAGAATTCCCCTAGGAAGCCATCTGGCCCTGGAGTCCTTTTGGTTGCGAGATTGTTGATTAATGATCCGATTTCCTTGCTAGTTATGGTTCTGTTCAGGTTTTCTCTTTCTCCCTGTTTCAGTTTTGGTAGTTTCTATGTTTCTAGGAATTTATCCATTTCTTCCGCATTGCCTAATTTGTTGGCATATAATTGCTCATAATAGTCTCTTGTAATTATTTGTATTTCTTTGGTGGTGGTTGTGCTCTCCTCTTTCATTCATGATTTTTTAAAGTAATTAATTAATTATTTTTATTTATTTTTAAAAGGTTTTATTTATTTATTTGATAGAGATTACAAGTAGGCAGAGAGAGAGGGGGAAGCAGGCTCCCCGCTGAGCGGAGAGCCCGATGTGGGGCTCGATCCCAGGACCCTGAGATCATGACCCGTTCCGAAGGCAGAGGCTAAACCATTGAGCCACCCAGGCGCCCCCATGATTTTATTTATTTGGGTCCTTTCTCTTTTCTTTTTGACACATTTGGCCAAGGGCTTATCAATCTTGTTAATCCTTTTAAAGAACCAGCTTCTAGTTTTGTTGATCTGTTGTTTTATTGATTTCTGGTCTAATCTTTATTATTTCTCTTCTGCTACGTTTAGCTCCGTTTATTTGCTGTTCTTTTTCTAGCTCTTTTAAGTGTGAGGTTAGTTTGTGTATCTGAGACCTTTCTTATTTCTTGAGGAAGGCCTGTATTGCTGTCTACTTCCCTTGTAAGCCCACCTTTGCTGCATCCCAGAGGTTTTGAATTGTGTTTTCATTTTCATTTTCTTCCATGTATTTTTTTAATTCTTTAATTTCCTGGTTGACCCATTCATTCTTTAGTAGGATATTCTTTAACCTCCATGTATTTGTGGTCCTTCCAGATGTTTTCTTGTGGTTGACTTCAAGTTTCACAACATTGTGGTCTGAAAATACACATAGTATGATCTCACCCTTTTTGTACCAGTTGAGTCCAGATTTGTGACCCAGTATGTGATCTATTTTCGAGAACGTTCCATGTGCACTCGAAAAGAATGTGCATTCTTCTGCTTTAGGATAAGTGCTCTGTATATATCTTTCAAGTCCATCAAGTCCAGTGTATCATTCAAAGCCCTTGTTTCCTTCTTGATCTTCTGCTTAGTTGATCTGTCCATTGCTGAGTGGGGTGTTAAAGTCCCCTACTATTGTATTATTATCAGTTGATTTATTTTATTTTGTTATTAATTGATTTATATATTTGGTTGCTTCCAACTTGGAGGCATACATGTGTGCAGTTGTTAGATCTTATTGGATAGACTCCTTTATTATGGTATAATGTCCTTCATCTCTTACTATAGTCTTTGGTTTAAAATCTAGCTTGTCTAATATAAGGATGGCTACTCCAGCTTTCTTTTGAAGTCCATTGGCATGATAAATGCTCACTTTGAACCTGGAGGTGTCTTTGGGTCTAAAATGAGTCTCTTGTAAGCAGCTTATCAGCAGGTCTTGTTTTTTTAATCCATTCTGATACCTTGTGTCTTGATTAGAGCATTTAGTCCATTTACATTCAGAATAATTGTTGAAAGATACAAATTTATATGTATCAGAAATGGATCTAAAAGCAGTCTGCATTGGTTATCAGATATGGCTGGGCCTATAGTTTTCCATGACAACATTTGACCACTGAAATCCCAGGCCACCATAAGGAATGACTGCATTGGGCCAAGAACTTTTGCCATATCCATCACACTCATCTGACCTTTTTCTCAACAGATTACCACTTTTATCATTTGGAACTCTAAGAAACAGAACATTCTCTAATAGAGAAAAGTAATTGAAGGATTTGAGTAAATTTTAACATGCTGAATTTTATAAATATATGGTATTTGGAGAAATTTGTCACTGGGGGGAAAGCAGTTAATGCTGACTTCTGGTTGAATAAAACTTTTCTTTTTCTGGAAAAAAAAAGATACTAATTTAGTGCTTTTGTATTACGTGTTAACTCTCTGTTCCTGTAGATTGTGTCTGTTCCTTTCTAGTCTTTATTACTATTGGTCTCTCTGCCTGAAGCATCCCCTTTAATATTTCTTGCAGGGCTGATTTAGGTACATGAATTCCTTTAGTTTTTGTTTGTCTTGGAAATTCTTTATCTTTCCTTCTATTCTGAATGAAGATTTTCTGGATAAAGTATTCTTGGCTGCATATTTTTCCCATTCAGCTCATTGACTATATCATACCAGTTCTTTCTGGTCTGACAGGTCTCTGTGGACAGGTCTGCTGCCAGCTTTATGTGTCTTCTTGTCTTGAGCTGCTTTCAGGATTTTCTCTTTATGGCTTTGTAATTTGCAAGTTTCACTATAATAATCTGTTGTGGTGTTGACCAGTTTTCGTTGATTTTGAGGGGAGTTCTCTGTGCCTCTTGGACTTGAATCCCTGTTTCCTTCCCCAGATTAGGGAAGTTCTCAACTATAATTTGTTGAAGTAAACCTTCTATCCCTTTCTCTTGCTCTTCTTCTGGGACCCCCTATAATATGGATATTATTTTGCTTTATGGAATCGCTGAGTTCCGTAAGTCTACCTTAGTGATCTAATAGTCTTTCCCTCATCTCTTCAGCTTCATTATTTTCCATAATTTTATCCTCTTTATCACAGCTTTGTTCATCCTCAGTTTTATGACCTCCATTTGGGACTGCATCTTGATTATAGCATTTTTAATCTTGGCCTGACTGGATTTTAACTCTTTCATCTGTATAGTAAGGGATTCTCTCATGTCTTCATTGTTTTTTTCAAGCCCAGCTAGTATCTTTATAATTGTTGTTATAAATTCTAGTTCAAATATCTTAGCTATGTCCATATTGATTAAATCCCTGGCTATGAGTATTACCTCTTTTTCTTTATTTTGGGGGAAATTTCTCCATCCTGTCATTTTGTCAAGAAAAGAAAAATAGAAAAAGGGAAAAAAAAAACCCCAATAAGAACAACAAGAAGGGACGGCTGGGTGACTCAGTCAGTGAAGCAGCTGCCTTCAACTCAGATCATGATCTTAGGCTCCTGGGATTTAGCCCGGCTGGTTCCCTGCTGCTCCCTTTCTCTGCCCCTACCCCTGCTCGTACTGTCGCTCAAATAAATAAGATCTTTAAAAAAAAAAGTAACAAAAACTTCAGGAAGTGTTTCTGGTGTATGCTGTGTGCACTCTGCTATTGTGTTTTGGCTTCTCTATCCAGCTGGTCTGTCCTCTACAGAGTCCTTCTGTGCTTGTAGTGGGGAGTGTTTGGATCTTTAACTTGGTGTGCTTTGATTTGTCTGTTAATTTGGAAAGAAAGAAAGAAAGCCTGATCCAAGACAGGAGAAAAGGAACAAAAATGCAGACAGACAAAAAACTATAAACGCCTGATGCCAAAGAATGAGAAAGAACGAAGGAAAAAAGAGTGAGGAAAGAAGAAAAAATATATAAGCCTGTTCTAAAAAATAAGAGTAGGAAACCAACAAATGAACAAAAAGTTATAAGGCTGATACCCCCCCCAAAAAAGATAGAGAAGAGAGAAAGAAAAAATATAAAGTAAAAGATAAAAAATAAGAAATGGAAAAATTAAAAAAAATTAAAAATTAAGGAAGAAAAGAAGAAGCAAGTCTGGTCTTCTTTCCACCAGAAGCTGATGTTTTAGAGCACTCTTTAATCAGTAGACTTGGTACATGTGGAGGCCTATGTTGGTTTTCTGAGGGAGAGGCCTGCTGTGCTGGTTTACAGGCTGACTTGCCCTTGTAAAGATGCCCCTGCCAGGTCAGGGGGCAGGGATAATTGTAGGGGACTGCAGCCTCTGGGGAGGCATTGTGTTTCTCTCAGAAGTTGCATGGAGCTGGTGTGGGGCAGGGATGGTGGTGGAAGAGGAAGGATGTGGCATCATTCTACCCTCTTGTCCCTGGGGAGGGAACTCCTGGCCACTGTTCTGCAGGAGGCCCTCTCAAAAAAGCCCATAATCTCTTGTGTCCCAGGCCTTTGTCATTTCCCTGTTCTTCACCTGTCTGATTCCTGGGCTGTCAGTACCCTTGGTGCCACGGATCTTCTGTATTTTTATCTCCGGCCTGTGGCTGGGATTCAAAACTCCCAAATTTCAAGGGGCCTGGCAAGGTGCATACCCACTTCAGTCCCTATCCCGGAGGAGAACCTTGTGGTTCACCAGTACCATGCTGTCCGGGAAGAACAGTCATACAGCTCACACACACATGCTAGAGTTCATGTGACTCACAGCAGAAAGCCAGCTCAGTCCCCAACTCTGTCTCAGAAAAGCAGTTGCACAGAGGCTGAATCGATTGTGGTAGACAGCGAAAAGCGAAGCGAGGTTATCTGTACTCGCTGGTTTAGGTCTGTTGTGGCTCACAGTGGAAAGCTGCTGGGAGGTTATCTGCCCTCTGCGCACACCTCTGTCCCTGCTGAGCTCAGTGGCTCACAGCTGACCTTTTGTCCTTGGAGAGACAAAATACGCTCTTCCAAACGTATGATGGGAAAGGAGCACTCTCTCCCACATGCGACCCAAGGGGTCTCCTGGTCTTGGTTTACAGTGTGCTCCCCACCTGCTGGGGTCTCTCCCGCTCTCTCCCTCTTTCTTACTTTGCTGCTTGAAATGGTTCCTGCTCCTTCGGGGCTCCTTGGCTTTCTTCCCCTCCCAGTTCATGGCTCCAAACCCTGCATCTGCCACATTCTCTCCAGCTGTGCAGATTGTTTTCTTATTCCTACTTGCTCAGAATGGTTGGCTGTTGATCTGGCTGTGTTTGAGGGACAAGGCAAGCTCAGCGTCCCCCTACGATGCTATTTTAAATCCTCCCCTGTACTCTGTATACTTTTGCATCCTTTCCTGGTAGCAGAAGATAATCCCTGGATGAAAGACTGAACATCTGTGGTACTGTAGGAATCTTTTGGGGTTTTTTATTTGTTTGTTTGTTTTTGCAAAGAGAATCTAATTCAGCAGGTTGTAAGAGCAAAATGAGATGTTTTTCTCTGTTCTCTAGTTCTTTATCTCACTTCTAACCTCTGCTTCTCATCTTCCATGGGTTGTCAGAACTTTAACTGATTTCGCTTATATTTTACTCTATTCACCTTAGTGATCTAGTAGTGTGTGTTTATTCCTTGGGCACTGCCTTTTCTTTTTTTTTAATTACTGAAGGTAACCGTAATGTTTTTTAGTGTTTTGTTTTATTTTTAAAGTAGAACCAGTGGGGGCGCCTGAGTGGCTTAGTGGGTTAAGCCTCTGCCTTCCGCTCAGGTCATGATCTCAGGGTCCTGGGATCAAGTCCCTCGTTGGGTTCTCTGCTCAGCAGGGAGCCTGCTTCCCCCTCTCTCTGCCTGCTTCTCCGCCTACTTGTGATCTCCCTCTCTCTGTCATGTAAATAAAAATAAAATAAAATAAAATCTTTAAAGTAGAACCAGTGAATTGAATTTTATGAAGTAATGTGTTGGATATTTTCCTTTCAGATTCTAGAAGAAGCAACTGAAGAGGAAACAGCACTTCATAATCGAATTATGCCCACTGTGGTTCGTCCAGCGAAACAGCTGCTTCCTGAATCCACACCTGCAGGAAACCAAGAAATGGTGTGAAATCACGTTAAGTTGGATAATAAACTGTTGATGCTCATGTTTAATCCTCATTTTGAAATGTTGCTAGAAGATGAAATCACATGTCCTTTATTTGACTTATGCAGATAAGAGTATTTTAACTGCATTTATCCAAAGCTACACACCTGATGTGTTTCAAGCACTATTTGTGTAAAACATTAAGATTTAATTCTCTTTACCATTACTTTTCCTTCCTGTTTATTGAGCAACTTAGTGTCTTGTGATTTAGATACATGGTGATTTATCTTTTTAAATTGCAACTGTAGGGGCGCCTGGATAGCTCAGTTGGTTAAGCAACTGCCTTCGGCTCAGGTCATGGTTCCGGAGTCCTGGGATCAAGTTCCGCATCGGGCTCCCAACTCCATGGGGAGTCTGCTTCTTCTGACCTTCTCTGCTCTTATGCTCTCTCTCTCTCAAATAAATAAATAAAATCTTTAAAAAAAAGAAGAGAAAAAATAAATTGCAACTGTATTCTTAGGATTCAGTAAAAGATATGTGAAAGGTGAATTTTAGGTGAATTTTAAATTATGTTCCCCCTTAGTTTCTTTTAGTACTTAATATGTTAATATTTTAGGATAGCAAAATTATTTGAAAATACTGAAGGATGTATTTTTATTAAATGAGACATAGTAGAGAAGCAGTCTTGAAAACTGAGTTTGAAATAATCAAAGTTCCTTTGCTATTTTTTAAGTAATATTTTGTGGATGTATCAAGTTTTCGTTTTTTTTTTTTTTTAACTTGAGTATGTTAATGAACCTAAATGGTATTTTCTTTTCGCTTTATTTTTAGGAGCTGTTTGAACTTCCAGTAAGTAAAGAATGTTTACTTGTTACTTAAGTATACTTGCTTTAATTCTGAAAAAATAGTAAATGCTTTATGCATCTTTTTGAAATTACACAGGCTATTTATGAGATAGGAATTGTTCGCCAGTTCCCGTTTTCTTCCGCTTTGCAACGTATGAGTGTGGTTGCAAGGGTGCTGGGGGATAAGAAGATGGATGCCTACATGAAAGGAGCACCTGAGGTCATTGCCAGTCTTTGTAAACCTGAAACAGGTAAGGAAGCAACTAGGCTTTGAGTGAAATTCTGGTATTTGGGTGAGCTTGTATTTGCAGTTTTAACAATAACATTTATTTTTTTCTTTTTAAAAGTTCCTGTTGATTTTGAAAAAGTTTTAGAGGATTACACTAAACAGGGTTTCCGTGTGATTGCTCTTGCGCACAGAAAATTAGAGTCAAAACTCACATGGCATAAAGTACAGAATATCAGCAGGTAAGGTTGATGAATGGTTTTTCTACAGTTTATCCAATAATGTTCGTTTATATGCGTCTCATATGGCAATTTGTATGTTGTATTTATTAAATATTTGTCGAATGTATGCAGCTGCACCTAATGTAGTGTTTTGTTTTAGGTGATTGAGATACAAGTACAGCTCTTCAGAACTCTTACCAGTTTGTTTGTTAAATATCTAGTGCCTGCTATGTGTCAGGCATGTTTTAGGAATACAGTTTTAAAATATAAGCATAATTCTCTTGTATTTTGTTCTTCCCAAAGAATCTACTTGGTTTCGCCCAGTGGTTGGAACCAAGTATTATTTTGGTCAGAGTTTCATGAGTCACAATAACAATTATACCAGTACTCTTTCCCAACTCCCAAAGGTCGAGTGACATTGCCATCATCACATTTACTTTTCTCTAGTCTTAATCTCTCCAATTTGTGTTCCACAGTGCCTCCAGAGCTTTTTAACATTCAGTTCTAATACCAGTCTTCTACCTGGAATTCTAGTAAATGGCCTCCCATCATCTTCTAGAAGAGTTCACCATCAGGAATATGCATCAGGAAAGAAACAAAATATGTAACACTTAATTTGAAAAAGGGAAAGTGATAGAAGCAGATAAAAAATCAGAAAAAGACATACAAAGGTGCCTGGGTGGCTCAGTCAGTAAAGTGTCTGCCTTTGACTTAAGTCATGATCCCAGGACCCCTCGTAAGGCTCACTGCTCAGTAGGGAGTCTGCTTTTCCTTCTCCCTCTGCTCCTTCCCCCTGCTCGTGCTCCCTTGCTTGCTCTCAAATAAATAAATAAATAAAATCTTAAAAAAAAAAAGAAAGAAAGAAAAAGGCATACAAATGGCCAATGAACAAATGGAAATTGTAGTACATTATTTTGTTCTTTGGGGAACTACAAAATAAAACCACAGTGAGACATCACTTCTCTCCTGAGGTTCGTGAAATTAAAAAGATTGATAATATCAAGTGTTAGTGAAGGCTTGAGAAAATTTAAATGAACATGTGTAGTACCTGTCAAAATTTAAATTGCTTCTACAGTTTGATCCCGCAAGTGCGGTTCTAGGAATCCATCTTAAAGAGCTATTTCTATGTGTGTTATGCACAAGTTACGCACAGGTTCAGGGGTTTTTTTCTTAATATTTTAAAAATTTTTTATAAACATGTATTATTAGCCCCAGGGGTACAGGTCTGTGAATTGCCAGGTTTAAACACGTCACAGCACTCACCATAGCACATACCCTCCCCAATGTCCATAACCCCACCACCCTCTTTCGACCCCCCTCCCCCACCAGGTTCAGGTTTAAATAGTGTCAGTAGCACAACAATAGGGCAGTGGCTAAATTACAGACTATTAACACTTCTTTTAATTACACCTTTTCCCACTATGCAAAAGTAGAGTGTTCCTGTGAAGCTGTTCATAAGCCGGAATAGCTTAAAGTGAGGAAACCGTTATCATTAATTTATGTGGAAAAATTCTGAGTTTTTCCAGACCCCAAAAATAATCTCTCTTAAGCTCTCATAACTTGGGACACATCTTGCTAATGCAGGCACAATAAATCAAGATAGAGCAAGATGCTCACAGGCACAGTTCAGACCTATGTGGCTTGATGCTGAGGTGCTGACTGTAATACCCAGGGAAGGAGCTTGGGAGGGCCACTCCCAGCTGCTTGGGCGTGCACTGCTTCTGAATTGGCTTGCGGCAAAATAAATGCTGAATGCTGTTTTTGCCTTTCCCCCTTTTTTCTTGAAAGTGAAAAGTCTTCAGAATTCTTTGGGTTTTTGAAAACAAGTACTGATGTAGGTCTTTCATAAAACTGGCCTAATGCAAGCTTTTGAAAAGCAGATGATTCCTAAGCCTGAAGAGTTAGGGCAGTGTTTATAGTAGAATCTTGGTTTTCTGAATGAGAACTAAAGGAGTGGAGCAGATAGCCTCATAGCTAAGAGGAAAAGCTATGTTAGGAATTCTGCCTGTTCACACGGAATGTTTGGGGGATGTGGTTTAAGCATGAACATTTCAAAAAAAAAAGAAAAGCAGTAGCCAGCTGACGGGACTGATCGATAAGCGTGGTTGAGAGGTGCAGTAAAATACTGTGTTCTAATTCCTGTGAAGGACACATGAGGCTCTTCTTTCTCTACAGCTCCACCTTTTGCCATTTTTTCCCCTTAAAGACTAACTACTGATTTGTCTGTAGTTCTTGAGCCTGTCCTAATCAGACATCGTTCCATGCCCTTGAATAAGCTATTCCTTCTGCCCAGAATATCCTATTCCTGTCAACTTTTCCCTCTTTCTCTACTGCTTTCTCTCTTTCTCTCCTTCTTTGGCATCTATAAACCAAGGCCTTCTCCGTCTTTCCATTCTGTCTTACCGGGGCAGGTTTTGGCATTTCTCTTACTGCTTGAACCTTTACATCTTGAGTTGAATATTGTATTGTTCATTCATGAGAGGACAAAATTTCCATGACCTGTGTCATTTTATTGTTAGGAAAAAGTCAGGAAACCAGTAGTAGCCAGAAACTAGCTGGTCATGGGAAAATGGCTATAGTGCTTGGACCCCAATGTTTCACATTGGTACAGCTTTGTTCCTTGAAGTGCATTTTCAGACTTAAAGGCTCATTTCTCCTATCACCACCAGCAGTGTCATTTTATATTGTTTCTTAACTGTTCTTTAATACCTTTACCACCCATAGTTATAAATTATATTTCAAAGATTGTTTAGGGTTTAGAGCTTTGTACTTAAAGTGCCTTTATTGAATTTTGTGTCAAAAAACCACTTCTTACTGGAAGTCTGAAATTTTGGTTCCTAACCTCAAGTCTTCTTTCTCCATCGTGGGGCAGGGTGGGGGGGATATTTCTGGGGCACCTGGGTGGCTCAGTTGGTTGAGTGTCCAACTCGTGATCTCAGTTGAGGTCTTGATGTCTGGGTCGTGAGTTCAAGCCTTGCATTGGGCTCCTTACCGGGTGTGGAGTCTACTTTAAAAAAAAAAAAAAGAAGAAATAATTCTGTGATAGAATTTTAGTAGCTTGAGGTTCCCCCCCGCCCAAAGATTTTATTTTTATTTATTTGACAGAGAGAGAGAGGTCATAAGTAGGCAGAGAGAGCAGGGGAAGCAGGCTCCCCACTGAGAAGAGAGCATGATGTGGGGCTCGATCCCAGGACCCTGAGATCATGACCTGAGCCGAAGGGAGAGGCTTAACCCACTGAGCCACCCAGGCGCCTCAGTAACTTGAGATTTCTTAAGAATGCAGCCATCTTCATGATGATGCTGAAGCACATGTTATTTTTGCATGCACATCTTTTTAAAAGGTTTTATTTATTTATTTATTTGAGAGGGAGGGAGGAGGGGCAGACTGGGGAGAATCTCAAGCAGATTCTGTACCAAGTGTGGGACTTGATCTCATAGCCTCAGATATGACTTGAGCCAAAGCAGAGTTGGATGTTCAACCAACTGAGCTGATCGAGCGCCCCTGCATATATCTCTTTGCCAGCATGTCTGTTTTTCCACAAAAGCCCCTTGGGGGTAGGGATCATACCTTTTCATCTTTGACCTTCCAGGGAATAGTAGTGCTACTTGGTGCAGAGTGGGTACTTAACTTTTGAAGGAATAGCATCTTGATAGCTATTGAATATTAATATATTTTTTTTAAGATTTTATTTATTTATTTGACAGAGAGAGATCACAAGTAGACGGAGAGGCAGGCAGAGAGAGAGAGAGAGAGAGAGAGAGAGAGGGAGGGAAGGAAGCAGACTCCCTGCCGAGCAGAGAGCCCGATGCGGGACTTGACCCCAAGACCCCGAGATCATGACCTGAGCCGAAGGCAGCGGCTTAACCCACTGAGCCACCCAGGCGCCCTGAATATTAATATTTTTTAAAGGAAATTTTCTTTAAAGATTCTATTTATGTATTTGACAGAGAGAGCAAGTGAGCCCAAGTAGGAGGAGCAGCAGGCAGAGGGAGGGGGAGAAGCAGGCTTCTTTCTGAATGGAGGCCCTGAAGCAGGGCTCGATCCCAGGACTCTGGAATCATGACCTGAGCCGAAGACAGATGTTTAATGTTTGAGCTACCCAGTTGCCCTGAATATTAATAAATACTGTAAGAGCCCCATCTCTGGGGCTCATTGTCAGACTGCTAAATAATTTTTATATCACACTGTCAGGATCAAGAATTTGATCAAGAGTCTAGGGGCATCTGGGTGGCTCAGTTGGTTAAGTGTCTGCCTTAGGCTCAGGTCATGATCCTGGAGTCCCAGGATCGAGCCCCATATTGGGCTCCCCGCTTAGTGAAGAGTCTGCTTCTCCTTCTGACCCTCCCCCTTCTTGTGCTCTCTCACTCTTTCTCTCTCAAATAAATAAAACCTTAAAAAAAGAATTTGATCACTTCTAAAATCATCAAAGGCTTGATAATAATGAATGCAGTATAACTGTGTTGAATGTGCTTATGGCCAAGTTTTTTCCTTTTCTCTTAACATTTATGTTAGGCTGTGTTATATTTGGGGTCCAGTAAAGCATAGATTTACTTATGCTCATTCATTTTGTGGGTAGAATACAAGATGAACATTTTTCAGTACTTCAGGTGTTCAGTGTCTTAAAAAATAACATTTTCACATTATCCTTATTTCTCACATTTCAAAGGGTAATGTTTTATTTCAAAATATGCCTCTTGGGAATTATTTTTCCAGATACGAATTTTTTGAGATATTAAGCTCGATTACACATATATATGGCTTATTCAGCATATAAAATGTTTTAATTTGTAATTTATGGGAATTTTAATTTGCTTTATTAATAGAAAGAGAAAAGTATCTGTTCTCTGGACTAAACCATTTTGTGTTAAAATTTCTTTTTTCTGCAGAGATGTCATTGAAAACAACATGGATTTTATGGGATTAATTGTAATGCAGAACAAATTAAAGCAAGAAACCCCTGCAGTACTTGAAGATTTGCATAAAGCCAACATTCGCACTGTCATGGTCACAGGTTAGACTTTATAAAAGGACACAGGAAAAATTGAATGTGACTCTTAAGAGTTCAGGTTATAGGATATTGTGGAATGATTAGTTATACAAGCATATAGTGGCTCCATCCTACTTTGCCCCATTTCAACTCAGAGTGTTTTTTAAAGGTATAAGATAACTTTGCAGAACTCTCCTGAGGCCTAGCAAATTCTTTTTATAGAAGTAGTAAAACAGTGAAGGGCATATGGTAAAAATTTAGATTTTGCTCTTTTTTGTTATCCCTCTAATCATATATTTTTTATAGCAGTTATTTTATTTTGTGTAAGCTGTTTGTAGATTTGTTTTCTGTACTAGAGCATAAGATTCTAGAGAGTTAAGAGAATGTTTTGTTCGTTTTGGGGTCTTGTGCAGTTTTTAGAATCATGCCAGATGCAAGGAAAATGACTAATAGATATTTGTTAGAATTACACTTCTATGTGTAAGAGTATGTTTATTTTCATTGCCTGAATGTGTACTAGTGAAAATAGCCATTGTTTGATTGGTTTTTGATTTCTGACGACTATATCCAAATGATTCTCTGGTGGTACTATCTTGTTGATATTAGATAATTCCCATTCCTTAGTTGTGTGAAATTGTGGCAACTCTTAAGTATTTTTTTCTTAAGAAATAATAAGAATTAAGATAATCATTCTATGTCTCGTTTATGTGTTCACTTAAGACTTATGTGGAAAAAGCAATTGACGTTTTTTTGTTTCAGATTCTGAGATCCATCTAATAGCAAACTTACCACTGTGTAGCTCAAGTAGAAATTTATTAGCATCCCAGCAATTCCTTGGTTCTAAGGATTGCTCCTTCAAAGCACTTTCCATCTCTGTCTCTTTCCTCTCTTTCCCTGCCATGACTGACTGTGACCTTTGTCCCACTGGGGGTCTGTCTGGTCACAAGAGGCCACCGTTGGAAATTGTGTGTGGGAATTGGGGGAAGAAATCCTGTTGCCCTTCAGTTTTGGCAGCAGTGGGCTTTGCAGACCTTTGCCCGCCTCTCACATATGTGTGGATATTTTCTTGATCCTGTCCTTACAGGGAGGGCTTCTTTTCATTTCTCTCCTCCTGACTGAGAGGATGTCTGTCTTCTCTTCCTATCTTGTGAAGATTGTATTCTTGTTTACCTGGCTCATCGTTGTGCTTTTGGAACCCGTTCCTTTTTTCCTGTGATACTAGGTATTCTTGTACAGACCCAGTGACTCCTCTAAGTTATTCCAACAGATACTTTTTGAGCACCTGCTCTGTGCATGTGCAGCACGGCGCTAGGTGTCGCTAGGTACTACTAGTGCCTGACCGAAAGAGATCACAGTGTATCTGGCTCTAAAAATTGTAATTGTAAGAATGGTATGACTGTTCAGCATATGTGTGCTTGAATTATTTGAGGCTTCCTTTGTAAAGTATGTTTTGATTTTTGTTGTCTTTAAGATTCAAGAGTAATACTGTACATTATCATCATTTTGCCAAGCACAGTCATGGGGTAGTAGGTATTCTTGATAAATATTCATTGTTGAGTACGTTTATGTTTCCATTTTAATTGTAATGCATTTTCAATATTTTGAAAATTAGGTGACAATATGTTGACTGCTGTTTCTGTGGCCAGAGACTGTGGAATGATACTACCTCAGGATAAAGTTATTATTGCTGAAGCATTACCTCCGAAGGATGGGAAAGTTGCCAAGATAAACTGGCATTATGCAGACACCCTAACACAGTGCAGTAATTCATCAGCAATTGACTCAGAGGTAATGTCAAGAAGAATTTTCCCTTTTGAAGCTTGCTTGTTTGAATTTAGTCTGAAAAAATAAAAGGTGATGGATTAAAACACAACAGAAAAGAAATGAAAACAGACACCTGGGCCACATCCTCAGAGATTGACTTATTAGGGCTGGATGAGACCTAGCTACCTCAAATTGTGATGTTTAGCCCGAACTTGAGAAGCACCATTTTAAAGAATGAAAATTCCAGATATTTATCCTATCTTAACCATTTAAGAAGATTTATTTGAGAGAGGAGAGAGAGTGTGTTAGAATGGGGCAGGGGGCAGAGGGAGAAAATCCCCAAACAGACTCCCTGCTGAGCTAGAAACCCAACACAGGGCTTGATCCCACCACCCGTGAGATCACGACCTGAGCCGAAACCAAGAGTGGCCACTTCACAGACTGAGCTGCCTAGGCAGCTGTTTTAAAAGTAATGATAAATGATGCAAGTGGTCTATAGTATTTAGTCCATGCATTCTTTCAAACCGAAGCTGATTTTTAGCCTTTGTTGGTTGGGTGGTTGTTTTTTAAATAACCACTATAGGTAGATTACCTTAAAACTGAATTTCCTTTTACTTTTAATAAACATTAAACTTTCATTGTTTTATGTAAATTATCAAATAAAAGAATTTCATTTTAGATCAAATATATATGTGATTTTTTTTTTTAAATAAAGATTTTATTTATTTGACATGGAGAGAGTACAAGCAGGGGGAAGAGCAGGTAGAGGCAGAGGGAGAAGCAGCCTCCCTTGTGGAGCAGGGAACCCCGATGCTGGGCTTGATTCCAGGACTCTTGGGATTATGAGCTGAGCCAAAGGCATATGCTTAACCAACTAGGCCATCCAGGCACCCCTAGATCAAATGTATGTATGTATGTATGTATGTATTTATTTATTTAAAAAATTTTAAAAATTTATTTATTTATTTATTTGACAGAGAGAGATCACAAGTAGGCAGAGAAGCAGGCAGAGAGAAGGGAGAAGCAGGCCCCCTGCTGAGCAGAGAGCCCGATGAGGGGCTCAATCCCAGGACCCTGAGATCATGACCTGAGCTGAAGGCAGAGGCTTAACCCACTGAGCCACCCAGGCACCCCATAGATCAAATATATTTAAAATAGGATTTTATTACTTGGTCTGGCTGCCTAAATATTGTTTTAAATGTCTCATACACAGGCTATTCCAATTAAACTGGTCCATGATAGCTTAGAGGATCTTCAGGTGACTCGTTACCATTTTGCAATGAATGGAAAATCATTTTCAGTAATATTAGAACATTTCCAAGACCTTGCTCCTAAGGTTAGTGATGTGGGTTTATGTATGTGTGTGCTCACACGAATAAACTGTGAACAATATTTTGAAGAAATTTATATTTTTTCCAGTTGATGTTGCATGGCACTGTGTTTGCTCGTATGGCACCTGATCAGAAGACACAATTAATAGAAGCATTGCAAAATGTAGAGTAAGTATTGTTTTTCTTTTTCTTAATTTTTATGGATTTTAATGTCATTTTCAAAACCAGAAAAGTAACTAATATTTCATGTATATAGTATTGTCACCTATCAGATAGGTGACAGCTCTGAACTGCCTGTTTAAAAGAGGTTCATGTGCTAATTTATTTAGCTAAAGTACAATATCTACAATTCCTTTTCCAGGTAATATCTGTAAGATAGAGTTCATTTACTCAGCTTGTAGAAGTGACTTCATAGTTTGTGTAAATAATTAAGTTTTAGTGTAAAAGTAGGTTACTAAAGACTGTACAGACCCAAGACCTTTGCTCTAAAGATAAGGAAATTGAGATGCCAGATGATAAACTGATTTGCCCAGCTTGTGACAGAAATGGGACAATAACCCAGGTCATTTGACTTGCAAGCTGATGCCAGTTGCAAAAGCAACATGCCTGTAGTCCTTGTGATAAAAAGATTCTTTAGTTCCAGTGGGGAGGTCTCGGTCTATTAGCTCTTCATAATAACATTGGAGGAATCTTAAGTTAAATGTTGTTTGTTTTAAAAAGGTAATCAAAATCTTAATGTGATTTTTGTTTCTAGTTACTTTGTTGGGATGTGCGGTGATGGTGCAAATGATTGTGGTGTAAGTATGGTTTTTGTGATTTATAGTTCTTTCTTTAGTCTAAGTCACATTTATAAAACTTAACCTCTTTTCTTCTTCATAGGCTTTGAAGCGGGCACATGGAGGCATTTCGTTATCAGAGCTCGAGGCTTCAGTGGCATCTCCCTTTACCTCCAAAACTCCTAGTATTTCCTGTGTGCCAAACCTTATCAGGTAGCACAGATTCAGCATTATCTCTTTGTGATGTGCTCTGTTAACGTAGAAAAAAATCATCATAGAAATTAATACGAATTTGTTGTGATGATGTGTTAGTATATTCGATCTCTAACTTCATTAGCAGTAGGTTGCTACTCTTCATCTCTTTCAGGTTCTGCTTTAGTTTTGATCTTTTGGTAGAAAAGTGCTTTGTCATAGCTGTTGAATGTTGATGTTCATCAGTCAGGATATTACTGTGATTTGGAAGAGGAGTTCAGATGCTTTTATTGACATGCCAACATTTGTTTTCCCAGGGAAGGCCGTGCTGCTTTAATGACTTCTTTCTGTGTGTTTAAATTTATGGCTTTGTACAGCATTATACAGTACTTCAGTGTTACTCTGCTATATTCCGTGAGTACTGACCTTGCTTACAGAGATGGTGCTTTTGTTAAGGCATTTAAACCAAAAAAAATGGAGTATGTATGCATCCACTAATTAGGGAACTTACATAACTAGCATCTATAAATTTTCCTTTAGTTTATTATATTTTGAGTAGCAGATTGAAAATCTCATTAATCTGGAATAGCATTTTCTTTAAGGCTGGCAGTTGTGGCTAAAGCTTTGTGAGTAAAAGATGATTGTATTCTTTTTTTTTTTTTTTTTGCCTTTAGCACAGATTGGGCATCTTTCTGAGAGCTCTTCAAAATGTTAAGCTGTGACGTATTTCACATTTGTAGTTAACTCTGCTAAACATTTACAGAAAAAGGCCAGAGTGAGAAAGATGTTTCAGTAGTAGTTTGTAGGACTTTATGCATTTGGAGAAAACTATAAATGGTGATGTCCATAGGTACTCCATCAGATTTTATAACTGAAGTGATCTCACTTTAGAATTTTCTCAAAACAAACAGTAGTGACATCCCAGAGAGTTTTTGTGAAGTTATCCCTTTCTACCATTTGTAGAAAGGATCAGGAGGGATAGTGTTAGATGGATATTAGGAAGCTTTGAGATACTAATTTCCAAGGGTGTTGAATATAATAAGAGCTTGTATTTTCTTTAAAAGATTTTACTATCAGAGGCAAATGTATTTTAATTTTTAAGCAGTCCAAATATTTAAAGTTGTTATTGATGGCGGGGGCTGGGGCGCGGGTAGAGTGGGGGAACTAAAATCAAAGAAGAAAAATCTAAAGCTGGGGAAAGTGGTATAAAAATAGTTTCTGAAAACTAATTATGCTTTTAAAATTACTCTTGCAGATCTTAAGTAACCTAGGAGACTTCCAGTTTCTTTTCATTGATCTGGCAATCATTTTGGTAGTGGTATTTACAAGTGAGTAATTTGCTTTAGTATTGATTTAAAAGCATATGAAATTCTGATTAACTCCTTAAACTTTGGTAAATTTGTATCAATAATTATAACATAGGGCATACTTCTTCTCTATAAATTCTTCTTCTTTTTTTTTTTTTTTTTTTTTTTACTACTAGTTGTTTTTATTTGCCCTAGTTGTTTTACTCTTCTTTCTCCATCTTTTTCTTCCACTGAGCAGAGTGCCTAGTGTAGGGTTCCATCCCAGGACCCTGGGATCATGACCTGAGCTGAAGGCAGGTGCCTAACCAACTGAGACACCCAGGCATCCCATTTAAATCTTTTTAAATCCAGAATATTACATCAGCCTTTCTTGGGGGACATCTTGGTTTTGACATTTATGAAAGAAGAGAAACCAGTTAAATGGATTTGTCTGGTCTGAAGTAGTCTCATTAGACTCAGGCTGTGAATTCTTGGGAGGAGTATGGCGGAAGTGATGCCATGTCCCTAAGTAGACCATATGAGGAGACAGAAGATAGTGGTTTATTTTCGTCTTTGTGTTTATGTCAGAATAAATAATGATGTAATGGGATATGACCTGTTTAATCAAATAAAAATTCACAAGTCCATATTAGAAATAAGTAAGTAGGGAGAGAAGAGAAAGCTCTTCCTTAGAGTAAAATGCAAACTGATAACTATAGAAGGAATGATGGACTTCAACCATGGAAATACACTGATCTGATTGACCTTTTAGGCCAGATGCTTCTTTTCTGTGCATTAGAGGATGCTTACGCGCATCTCTGGTCTCTACCTGCTGCTAGATGCCAGTAACATTCCCCTGGTTTTGACAACAACGAATATCTCCAGACATTAACAGATATTCTCTACAGGGCACAATCATGTTGGTTGAGAACCAGTGAGTTAGACAATCTTTAGGGAATACTAAAACTGTCGAGTCAAAGTTTAATGAAGAACAGGATTTTTCTGGGGCGCCTGGGTGGCTCAGTGGGTTGAGTCTCTGCCTTCAGCTCAGGTCATGATCCCAGTGTCCTGGGATCGAGCCCCACATCGGGCTCTCTGCTCAGCGGGGAGCCTGCTTCCTCCTCTCTCTCTGCCTGCCTCTGCCTACTTGTGATCTCTGTAAAAAAAAAAAAAAAAAAAAAGAACAGGATTTTTCTATATCTTTTTATAAATTAATTACAAAAAGAAAAGCAGAAATGTTACAGTAGAGAAACTTGGTGGACATTACCTTAGTAAGTTATCAAAGCCTTTTTTGGTTACTGTTCATATAGCTTTCAACCTTTGTTAATGTCTTCTTTTTGTGTGTGTGTTAATGTCTTAAGAGGAAGCAAATATGTCTTTTTACTATAGCTTTTCAATTAAATATTCAGAAATAAATTCTTAAACATACAGTTAACATATAAACTTAGTTAACATATAAGCATGGTAATGTTATAGTTTATATGTTTATGTTTAATATTCTTTTTACTTGTACTAGTATTTCTCTGAAATTCAGTAGGCTAATGTAAAAGTACTTGGTGAGGTACTTTAGAAAAAGCCTAAATTGTTTACTTTTACAGATAACTTAAATATGTATGACATTTGGCTTGGATTTTGGACATTTTTCATATTAAAGATTTGTTAGACAAAAATGAATTTAAGTTCCTAAATGAATCTGATTATGTATTATATAACAACTATAGAGATAAAAACTTCTCCCCTTTTCCTCCTCATTATAGTGAGTTTAAATCCTGCCTGGAAGGAACTAGTGGCGCAAAGACCACCCTCAGGTCTTATATCTGGGGCCCTTCTCTTCTCCGTTTTGTCTCAGATCATCATCTGCATTGGATTTCAATCTTTGGGGTTTTTTTGGGTCAAGCAGCAACCTTGGTATGAAGTATGGCAGCCACAGTCAGAGTAAGTTGGTCAATCCATTAAAAAAATCTGTGGAATGTATGTAACATATATGCATAGTAGAAATAAGTTTTAGAATTTATATAAATTTTGCAGGCAGCTTGATTAAACAATTAAATTATTTGGCCTATATTTGACTTTATATCATTGTAACTCCTTTTTATTTTTAGAAGGATGGTCAGGCAGGTTCTTCATAATCATTACCAAGAAGGGGATATCAGACCAGTTTCTTAATTAGCTACTGAGATTATCTGTAAAATGAGAGCATTGAAATTAATCAGTGTTCTCTTCTCTAAACCCAGAATGTTTGTGCATCTAACTTTTCTACCCCAGACCTAGGAAGTGACATTTTAAAATCTGAAAAAACTGGTAAAAAAAAAAACAAAAAAACACCAAGTGTTTCTCTTATTTATGGGTAGAGTGTTCTATCAGTCACAGATTATAACATTAGTTTAATTAATTAAATGTATAAGCTGGGGTGCCTGGGTGTCTCAGTCAGTTAAGCATCTGATTCTTGATCTTAGCTTAGGTCTTGATATCGGGGTTGCAAAAAACAAAACAACATGTAAGCTATACCCTGAAGTAATTTTGTAGAATTACATTTTTAGATACAAACATTATAGCTTGCTTGTTGAAGGGACTAAAAGTTGTCTTTAAAAGTTTTGGGAAACTGAAAAATTTAACATTAATGTTTGCCTGTATGTACATATAAACACTGCAATGCAAAGGAATAGATGGAATTGTTCTGGAGAAGCTTTCCAGAATTCATTTGTAGCAAATTAACATTTTGTTACTACTTGCCTGTGCTTATGTAACTAATGTTTCATTAATGGGTGTGATACATGTTTGACAGTCCTGCCCACTGGAAGTAAAGCTGAGAGAGCACCACAGCCACAGAATACTGACAGTGCTCAGTGCTTTGTTGGACATCCACACGAGTTATCTACTCCCCACAGAAACCCTGTGATAGTGAGGTGATACCCACCCTTACAGGCCAGGAAATGGGGGCTTAAAAATTTAATAATTCTTGGTTAAACTAAAAAGTGACAGAGCTAAGGTCAAACTTAAGGTCTGTGAACCTTTACCATGTTAAAATGACTCCCAAAATTTAGTTATGTTTCTTTTTTTAAAATTTTGATTTCAGTATAGTCAATGTACAGTGTGATATTAGTTTCATTTCCAAGTTTAAAAAGTAAGAGGGACTTGTTAAATATGATTGGAATTAACTGATTGGAATATGACTAAGGAGAAGAGACCCTTAACACTCTGTTGCCTGTTCTATATATTTTACCTTGATATTGTTGGATCTTTTCCTATAAAAACCTTATTTCTGTTAATGGGAGTGATTTAAGATAGTTAAGGTAAAGTTGGTTGCTTTTGGGAAATGAGTATGGTATTTAGTAATGTAAAAATGTTTTGTGTTCTAGTGCTTGTAATACAACGAGAAGCCTATATTGGAATTCTTCACATTTGTACAATGAAAGCAATGTTGATACACATAATATTCAAAATTATGAAAATACCACAGTATTTTTTATCTCCAGTTTTCAGTACCTCATAGTGGCAATTGCCTTTTCAAAAGGAAAACCCTTCAGGCAGCCTTGCTACAAGAATTGTAAGTTTGGCGTTTGTGATTTTTATCCTGCTTTCTTTCTTTAAAAATAATATAAGAAGAGTAGAGTTGAAATTGTTCTTTCAGAGTGAAATGGGTCTTCACATAAAATGAACCTAGTGATTTAGATGTTTACTGTCTTGTTTTGTTCTCATGGTAGCTGCCACTCTAAAGTTGAAAATTAAAGCCACCAGTTCTAAACAGTCCTGGTTTTCACATACTGTTGCTTCTGGCTCCAGCTTTTATTTTTACACCCCATTGCAGACAGAGTTAGAATTAGAAACAGGAACAGAGGTTCTTCAGTTGGAACAGTGGGTATTATACTTTGCTTCTGGGTGGTCTGCACAGTGCCAGCTGTCTTTGTCATCATTCTTGATACTGGCACAGACATTATTCACCTGGAATTCTTCATCGGTGTCACCTTTGCATCCACTGCTGAAAGGGTCAGTAAAATGGAGTCTTGTGCCTATGTCGACTCATCTAACTATGGCAGTAGGAGATAGCTTCTCTATTGATCAAAACTAGGGTTTATGGGAAAAAATCAGTTACTGTATATAAAGTGCTAATTTTTTAAAAAAATTAAGAATATACTATTAACATGTAGGACAACTTAATTTTTTTCATAAAGAACTTTAGATTTTTGCAGTATTTTAGAATAAATAGTAGTCATTCTTTTGCTGTAGTTAGAAAGAAATGCCGGTGTTCTGGTTGGCAGACTGTCAGGTCCCATAGGTGTAAGTAACATCTGCTAGCATCTCTTATCTCATGAGGGTTTGCAAAGCATTTTCCCATATGTCTTATTTATTCTTCTACAGTATGTGGTTTGTGGGTCACATTTTATTAGTTTCTGTTTTGGACAGGTTAAGACTGTTCACCTAGCAGTAATACTGAAATCTGTTTTTACTTTTTACTTTTTTAAAAAAAAAAACTGATACTGGGCACCTGGGTGGTGCAGTTGGTTGAGCCTCCAACTGACTCTTGGCTTCAGCTTGGGTCGTGATTGCAGGGTCATGGGATTGAGCCCCACATCAGTCTGCGTGGAGTTCGGAGTCTGCGTAGGATTCTCTCTTTTCCTCTTCCTCTGCCCCTGCCCCCTCCAAATAAGTAGATCTTGAAAAAACAAAACAAAACAAAAATCCATTATCTAAAAAGCAGAATCTGTATTACTGAGAGCCATATTGGAAGCATGTTTTGGGACAAAAAGCCTTCCATAGAAGGTCAATCACTTCTAAGCTAAAAAGCTAAAGTCAGCTTTAGTTGAAGTGAACTTAGTTAAAATTGACATACATGTTTTGTTTTTAGTTCTATATTTTTATATTTCAAGGAAGTATTTAGCATGCCCAAGTGTAGCTCAAACATCTATCAGAGAATAATGCTTTCTTTATATAAGAAAACTGGTGTTCAGACTGTTTGATAAGTAAGATGGCGATGTCAGTGAAGTTAATTTTAGAGATCTAAGTAAATCCACCCTATCCATGCTTCTCCAGTTTAAAAAAAAAAGATTATTAATTGCCTGTTTTTAAAATGTATCTTTTGTATCATTTGAAAAACTTAAAAAAAAAATTAAAGGCTTTGTATTCTCATTTAATTTTGTATGAAGATATTTTGTATTTGCAGTTAGTTTCAAATTGACTTGAATAAGTAGTAAACTCAGTTGTTGATCACTGGACTATTTTTTTAAAACATAGTATTAAAAATTATGTTTAGCAAAAATACAGCCACAAAACCTTTGTCCTAAATATAAATAGCTTGTGTGTGTTTGTTGGTGGATAAACAGAAGTGCATGCTATCTTAAAACATGCCTCCTAAAAAATAAAATAGAAACACTAAAGACAACGTAAACGTATTTTGCTAATTTTCACATCTTGTTTCTGTCTCTCATTGGAGCCCCTTAATCTTGGAGTTACTGATGAATAAAGAGAGTGATAGAAATAAAGTCTAACTTTATAAAGTAATGTGTAAAGTATAAATAAGACTGGGAATGAATGGGGAGAGGTTAGGGCTTTGCTAGAGCTGACATTAGTTTTTCATTTTCTCCTTTAGAATTGACAGCCGTTCTTTGTTAGGACTTGCTGGTTGCTGTTCTTTATATCTAAGCAGTGAAATGTATTAAACCTATTTTGAGATTATTGTTTTTAAAAATTAAATCTCAGTCTCAGGCATTTCAGGGATTCTCGTCAGAATGTTTTTGTTCTCTCCTACTGGTTGGATTCTGAATCAAACTGAATTTCAGTCTGCGGTGACCCATTTTCAGCTTTAGCTTAGCCCAGTTCTATTTTCTCCTTTAACCATGCTGTCATTTCAAGGACCATGATGATACGGACTTAATTCTTACATTGTCATTTAACTAGATGTGATCTCTTGGAATTTGGCTTTGGTTTTTGCTACAGTTTCTTACTTGCCTCTGGTAACTTTTTGCTTGTGACACCGAAATCCTTTCTCAGTCTGTGCAGTTGTTACTGCTGAACTGCCAGTGCCTCCTATTCAGGGTCTATGCATGTTTTTCCTGTTCCTCTGCCATGTCTGAATTGGGTGGAGCAGATATCTAGAAGCCCTGCAGGATAAGGTGGCCTTTCAAAGACTTGAAACTTGTGGTTATAGATTAGAATACTCTAGTTCATATTTTTGAGGACGGAACAGCAAGAGGAGTATATATCAAAATCATGAACGAGTATTGTAGGTTTATTTATTCTGTGTAAGGTTTTATTTTTGAGTCATATACTAAGGGGAACGAACGCAAAGGAAATCCTTTATGGTGCCTGATTTTGATGCCATATTCCATCAAAACCATCTGGTATCATTAACATGTCTGTGATGCCATAAGTTGGGACATATTTAATAATAATAACTTGAATTTACAAATGCTTTGCATTTTAAGGACCAAGTCTGCTCTTCTCTATGGTGTCCTCATCATATCCCCATCTTATTAGTTCAAATACCTTGACTCCTAAGGATTTGTTCATGTTCACACGCTTTGTGGTAGAATCTGAATTTGTAACGTACACAACATTCTTCACTGATCTCCAGTCACCACCAACACAGGATTTGTTTTGATTGCTGTGTTCTCGTGAAGAGTATTACTTGTACTTCAGTAGCAGTGCCAGGACTGTCTAGGAGCAGAGAGCACAGTCTACTAGAAGATGAAAACCTGATTTTCCCATTCTTGGTTTCTCTGTTGATCTTTTCATTTCAGTGGTTATATACATCTGTCAGCCATGCATTGTCGCTGTCAGATTCCTTTGAATAGCGTGCCTCTTTTTCTCCCCTGGCTAAACAAAGGAGAGGTTTAATTACTTATTTTCTGCTTCACATGGAAATCTTGGTGGGTTTTTGGAGTTGTAATCAGAGGGAGTGGCTCTAGGAGAAAGACAGGAAAATTTGAGAAATACTGTTGAGGTGGATGTGAGAAGTTTGTGAGCCTGAGTAAAAAAATGTTTTCTGGCAATATATCAGGAACTAGATTACAAATCTATTTTGCTTATAGCCGTAAAAATGCAGTAAGATTTGGAAAATACCCAATATGGGCTATTACTATTTTGAAATAACTTGTTCTGTCTCCGTGTCTCTCTAATTGTATTCTCTAGCATTTGTATTCTGACCATTTCTTGTCCTTTTTCTGATTTTGTTTTATGTGTGTTTCTGTACTACCAACTAGCACTTTCTAAACACTTTAACTGTCCATAATAACTATTTGAATTAACTTACATATTGCTTTGGTTGCTACATTCATTGAACAGAATATTATATTTCCCATTTACAGTTTAGTAATACGTTTTTAAAAAATAAAAATCGAAGGGAAAAAAAAGTTTTTACAAATCTAACATGTGTTCCAAATTCTTTATTCTCTTGGTCAGTGACTCAAAATAAAAGTTTCCCCCCTTTGGCATGAATGTTAATAGAACTTCCAGCCTAAGTTGTTACAACAATAAATATGTATATTAATGTATATATACAAAATAATATAATACACTGTTATTTCTGTGGGACAGTAAATATTGGCCTGTGGTTTTGAACTGACATACTAACGGTTTTTTTTATTTATAAATGACTCCTACATTTAAAAATAGTATGAGATCCTTTTACAGTCCATAAAATAGGATATTAACTTCTTTACCCAATCTGAAGGCTCTATGATAAAATTTTGGTTTTACATGGTTTTACTAAATTACAATAACATTTAAGTTTCAAGATGACCTGAAATAAGAACTTGTAAATAAATATCCAAGCCAAAGAAAAAAAGGGAAAATGTTGGGGAATATCAGTATAATGGGGAAATTTCTGATCATTAAGGCTCATTATATAAGAGTATGCTTATATAAGTACAGATGAATGTGTGTATGTACACAGTTAACAGAATGGCCATGAGCAGGGAGTTTTATTTTTGAGTTAGGAAAGTAATGCAAAATACTTAATGCAGAGTAATGCAAAGTTAGGAAAGTAATGCAAACTGCTTGATTGAACTTAACATTCCCAGGTACTGCAGCAAGCGGTGAGCCCACATTTAAAATAGTAAATCAGCTCAGATTCTGGATTTTAGCTAACATTTTCTTTGGAAATATTTTTACAGAGGAGGTCGTTGAGAAAGTAGGATTCATTTAACAGAAATATGGTCAAATTAGAATGCCTTTATTTAGGATTATAGCTTACCCAGTACTGGGAATAAATATTGTTCAGTACTTTCATAGTCAATAGTAATTAGTGCATACATGTTTTAAATGATAATCTCATTTTGCTCTACATAGTCTAGTCTCCTGTCTTCGAATTATATATGGGCTTGATTATCTTACAGAGTAAGATGTCTATGGGAAAAAGAGAAATAAATGTCCATAAAGGTCTGTCTCTTACTTTTATAAATGCTGTATCACATAAGTGAAATCTTTGAGCCTAAATAATGTACTGTACTCTAGAAAATAACATAAAACAGACTTTATATACTTCACCAACCTAAATAGATATATTCAAAACCAAATTTAAGATTGCCAGTATGCCAGTTGTATTATATGCATTTTTATTTTAAGGAACTTCTAATTTAATTGTTTTACTTTCTTTTTCAGATTTTTTTGTTGTGTCTGTGATGATTTTGTATGTTTTCATATTACTCATCATGTTGCATCCAGTTGCCTCTATTGACCAGGTTCTTCAGGTAAGGGTTCAGCACATCAGTCACTACTGGTTGTCTGAGGGTGATAATAAGTAGGATAGCAGCAGTAAGGCAGGAATAGAAAATGACGCGTTAGTATTACATGATACTTACACAGCCAAATGGGACTTTTGGAGGTTTGCTAGGACTTATGATCTACCCCCTCCTTTGCTCTCTTATTACTGGGGACAGAGATTGTTTTCCCCATAATCTTTTCCTTCTGAATTTTCTAAGATGCAGTTACATTAACCCATATGTACCCTGAAAAGAATAAAGAACATAATTGAAACAACAGCTTTGAGTCTAGCTGATATTTTAAGTTTCTTTCCTGTTTCTTCAGTCTTTGCTTCTGGTTCCCTTTTCTTGTCTACAAACAAATGTTCCTTGGTCTTTAAAAATAAAAAACTTGGACTCTGTTCCTTGATCTGTCCCTTCTCAACCTACTTTATGAATAATCTGTACCTACTGCCTTTTCACTGTTCACTGAGTTCCATCTTTTCATTAAAAGTGAACTCCACTGAGTTCATCGTTTCATTAAAAACTTCATGATGAAATACTTGTTCTGTATATTAAATTGTTAAGCACAAGAGTAATAAAAATAACATCCACGAGTTCATTATCCAACCGAAATCGGTAACATTACCAACACCAGTAAGGCACTATAGCATACCCTTCTCCAAACACCCTGAGGGAACCACTCTTCTCATTTTTTCTCTCATTGTACACTTACCATACTGTATGAAACTGGAGAGATAGTTTTGCTTGCTTTTGACCTGTATGACAGTGATGTCTTACTGTTTGTATTTTTCTGGAATTGCTTTTTCCATTAGCATTATTTTTAAGATGTGTCCATGTTGGTACGTTTCATTTTCACTACTCTGTAGTACGGCATTACAGGAGTATACTTGCAGTCTTTCCCGTGCTCATAGTTGGTTTGTCTCCGGTACAAGCAGCTGTGTTACTGAACTTCGAAGAGGATGACAGTTTATAGTCTGAACCAGCAGTGTGTATATGAGCAAAAGAAGAAAACAGAAGAAAATCCATTTTGTTTCTCTTCTGCCGCATGTGTTTTCAGCTTCACATTATTTCTTGAAAGAGTGCAGCATTGGACTCACCTCTCACACACTCATCAAATAGTTTGGCTTCTACCCCTGCCAGTCTAATGAAATTGCCCTGGTCAAGGGCATTAACAGCTTTCTTCTTAAATCCAGTGGACTTGTCCTTTTAGTTTTTTTCCAGCCTTACTTGACCACTTGTCAGTTTTTGACAAGTTAGCCAGGCAGTCATTCTCAAGACTGTAATTTTATGATGCTGTACTCCCTTCTGATTTTTTTCTACCCCTAGGACTCCTTATTCTTACTCTCCATGGTGGTTCCAGACTCCTCCTATTCCTTAAATGTTAATGTTTCACACAGTCCCATTGTTCTTCTTCGTGTTACTCTGTATATTTGGATGAGCTCATCTGTAGTGCTGGCTTCCCCCTCAGTATCTTCTGTATTGGCCTAGCTCTCACAACTGAGCTTTAAAATTGAATATCCACTGACATACTGAATATTATACGCATGATTCACCTGTCAGTTCTCTCATTCAGCATCTTGATAACTAAGCTTATCATCATGTTCTCCCTCAACCCTGCTTTTGTCTTTTTTGGTACCACTGTTTATCCAAGTTGGAAGTGTGTGTATATGTGTCCTTCTCTTCTTTGCATCGTCAGTCAGTTGCTAGATTCTCTGTTTTCTTACTCTCAGTCTATTTTAGCTTTGCTCCATCCCATTTGCCACCTAAAGGGAAGCTGTTGTTTCCTCACAATACTTTTAACACGAAATGTGTTAATTCTCTGACTCTGGACACCAACCGGGTATCTTACAATTCAGTTCTGATACAGACTATCCGGAATTAGCACAGACCCTACAAGTTAAGGGCTTTGTCCCACAAGAGTGCTCCCCAACTTCAGATACCAGTTGAAAGTCTCACATCATCCAACCCCTGTACTTCTGACTAATTAGCTATAAATCAGGATTCCTAGAACTTCCTTCTCAGATTTGATAATTTGCTGTAAAACTCAGGTTAACACTTACTGTTTATTGGTTTATAATAAAGGTACAGATATATGACTAGATGAAGAAGCAGATAGGCCAAAGTCTGGAAGGGTCTCGAGCATAAGAGCTTCTGTCCCTGTGAAGTTGGAATGTACTACCCTCCCAGCACATGGATGTGTTGACCAAAGCAGAAGCTCTCTAAACCCTGAAGTTTAGGGATTTTTTTTTTAAAGGAGGCTTCATCATGTCATGGTCAATTATTAACTCAATCTCCAGCCCCTCTCCCTTCCGAGGAGGATGGGGCTGAAAGTTCCAAGACTGATCAGGGCTTAGTCTTTCTGATGACCAGGCCCCATCCTGGAGTTATCCAGGAGCCCACCAAGAGTAGCCTAATTAGAATAAAAAACATGATCCCCAGGAAATTCCAGGGCATTTAGAAGCTCAGGATAAGACATTCCTATTGGCACAAGACCAAATATATATATATTATTTTGTGCCCCCATCACTAGTTTTGACTTCCATCATCTTGTCTTGATCACTATAGGAGTCTCCACCCCTGAAATCTTTTCTTGCTGGAGTCATAGGTGTTTTTCTATAACATATTAGATCGTATTACTTCTCCGCACCTAGCCCAGTCTTCTGGGTACTCAGTAAATATTTGTTGGCTAAAAGGTGAACACATGAATGGGATTTTTTTGTTTTATTTTTTAGATCTTAGGAATTAACCAGATTTTGAAGTGAAAACTTAGACTGTATTTGTTAAATTGATTTTTACAGTTCTTTCTGTAACAGTATATAGAGTTTTGAGTGATACTTCATCATTCGGTCAGTATCTGCTTCATTGTTTAAACACAGGATTTTAGTTTAAAAATAGGGAATTGTTAGAAATTCATAAACTAGTAGAAAGCATGGGCTTTTCAGTCTGCGTAAATAGGATTTGACTCTAAGCTCAGTTGCTGTACCCTCTTCTTTTCACCCTGAGTTATACTTTTGAGTTTTATCCTCTGAAAAGTGGATATATTTTGTGGCATTGTTAAGGATTGAGTAGATAATGTATATGAAGGTGCTTGATGTGTAATAGGAATTCAGTGAATTTTGAAATTATGATATAATGCTGTAATATCAACTGCATACTACAATTTTAACTTAAAAATTTTTGTCTTATAAAAAATTTTTTGTCTTACAGATAGTGTGTGTACCATATCAGTGGCGTATAACTATGCTCATGATTGTTCTTGTCAATGCCCTTGTATCTATCATGGTGGAGGTAAGCATTTCAGATAATCAGATGGCTACGTTGCTGCTTTGGGATTCTTGGTGATTTATCAGTCCTGGGGGAAGAGGACAGGTAACATTATGAAAGCCCACAAAGAGTTTCAGTCTCATTTTAGTTAAATTGATTTAGCTCTCTCTTGTGACCTTTTCCATGGAAAAGAAACACAACTGATAATTGTTAGGTTAAGTGATATGTCACAGCTGCACTTATACAGATAAGAGAAAATAAGCAGTGAGATAGCAAAAATTAGTGATCTATAGAAAGGGGAGAAGATTGGTGCTCAGGTGGCCCTAAACTAGTAAATCAGTGCTATGAAATCAGAGTGGGTGTGTACCACCAGAGACCTGTGATATACAATAAAATCTCCCATTTAAGGAAGGAAAAGAGGGAGGGGGCTCTCTCGATGAAACGTAAATTTTAATAACAGTTAACAGTGGTCATAAAATAATGACCACTGTGAACTTACTGGCGCTGCTTACTGGATCTGCCTCCTTTGGTATTTACTTCTGAGTTTCCTCTGGAGGTCTTATGTCCTCTTTGATCCATTGTATATTATATAGTTACTCTCCTACTAGGATTGCCTTTAAGTTGACTTCTATAAAAGGAGCTAGTAAGTTCTTATTTGCTGCTTATTGATAAAATTCTGTCTGTTCTCAGAACTGTTATGATTCACTCCTACTGTAGCAATATATGAAATGGAAGAAGGAGATAGAGTTGTGATTTTTAAGTGAAGGGTTTCTTTATAGAGCAAACTTTTGAATTAAAATTAGGTAATTTGTTGGAAAATGTGTATACTTTTGTGATAATAGTTCTCGACTTGAAAATTGTGCTTAATTTGTTATCTTTCTAAAAGATGACTTGGTATTTAAATTTGGGCCATAGTGGGCAGTGTGAATATTATGCTACTGATCTTTTTAAGTTGCCCAGTGGAAAGTATTTTTGCTATTTTATGGACACTAGAAAGCACATCCAAGATAATATATTTTAAAAGCTTTCCTTTTTCTATGGTGTAAGTTCCATCTATTCACACAAATGTTATTTAAAATAAAATTTAAAGAAAAACAATTTTTAGGGAATCCTCTCATAATCTCTTAATTTATTATTCTTGCTTACTATGAAAAGATTATTTGTGTTGACTCTGATGAAATCATACTCATAGATACAGAATTAATGTTCTGTTTATTCAATGAAAGCAATTCATTGTTAAGAAAAAAGTCTCAAATTATAAGCATTATTTTAATATGGGAAAGACCCAAGGATTCAAATAAAAGCCTTATTTTGTAGAAATTTTAGAGGCCCCATTTTATCAAGAATTTTATGGTGATTTGTATTTGTTACAAGAATTTTCTCATAAAAAAAAAGTTCTGTTATACTTTATCCTTTTCAGATATTAACTGAAATTGTCTATATGAAAACCAAGTCATGTTTTTCACTAATGATGCAGCATTATATGAGCCTTTTAAAATGTGCACATTAATAAAGAATGACTTAGTCATTTTTAATTCTTAACTCACTGGAATATCTCTCAGAACTTCTTCCTTGACATGGTCCTTTGGAAAGTTGTGTTCAATCGAGACAAACAAGGAGAATATCGCTTCACCAGCACACAGCCACCACAGGTTGGAAATCAGCACTTACTCTCAATTCTTCACGTGTATTTAGGCTCTTTTAGTTGTGTGCCCTGCCTTCTGTAGGATGGGGTTCTGTTGTGTGTTGCCTCAACCTTTTCCCCTGTGCCTGGCATTTCATTCCCTGTCAGGAGTCCTAGAAAATTCTTGGCAAACATTTGTTACAGGCTTTTCAGGACTTCAGAAATTTCATAAGTCTCTTTTCCATTCCAATCCTTATCTTCGTTGTGTTATAAAAATCTTGTTCTCACTGGTGGGAGTTAAGTTTTCCATTTTTCTCTGGTTTTTGTGTTTACAGTTTTCATGAGTCCTATTAGAACCTAAATGGGATTCATGTAAATGACTATAGTTATGAGATGGGACTTGTTCATGAATCAGAGTTCAGAGGCCAGAAGCTTGAGGAGTTATTTCTGATCTGTTGCCAGCAATTACTGTGCCTTAATTTGGGGTGGATTTTTAGCTTTTCCAGACATAGGGTCTCTCTTTAGAAAAATTCTCAGAGACCTTGCATATCTTCATACAAATCATGGCTTAGGACTTTTGATTGTCTGGATCCATTCAGTAGCCTGTTATATGACAGATAGGCAAGCTCCATAGTAAAAAGAGAAGAGAAACAAATGAGTAAAATCCATTTCCTGGTGTTTGGATGTTGAAGTATCATTATATGCTATGACCTACAGTCATACAGAATATAACTAATATATGTTATAGGGTTTGTGTAGAAGCATTTGTATGTATGTACTTATACAACATACAAGGTAGCATGTAAGATCTGTCTTGTTTTTTTTAAACCATTGAGTCAGCTCTGATCCCCCCGTTTAGGTATAGAGAATGTGACAGTACCATGTCTTCCCACCTCATTATCTGACCCATTGCTGTTTGTCGGTAGGTGATGTGCTTTTACAAAAACATGTAAGTTCTAAATCTTCTGCTCATCCTGAGGCACGGGGAAAGCTTTCAGAGTTCAAGAGGATTCCCTGGCATTTCTGAGTTGGGCCATTCACTTTACTTTTAGCCTTCTTTTACCTAAGTAGCAACTTCCTGAGCTTTATTTTGCTAGTTCAGCAGGCTTGATGCCGAGAGTAATATCACAGATTGCTTTCTTTATAAGAGGTCTGTGGAACGCTATTTCCTTTTCTACTGCTTTATGATGAAGAATGAGATTTTGATAGTAATGGGATGAGTCTGGCTTCAGCTTCAGTTCCTTTTTCTTAAAGCAGGGTAGTGATACGGCCACAGCTGTTTCAGGGGCTCATGTCTTTAGCTAAATATCCTCTGTGTCCAGGTTTTTTCCCTGGGGTTACCTCACTACATGACCTCAAAGGGTAGAATCTGGCTCATATCATCAGTCCCCATATGAAATGTTTGTATTGGCAAAGGCCCAGGACAAGGAAAACATTTACATTGAGTTTTCACCGACTCCAAAGAGTTCTCTAACTGTTGATCTAAACAGGAAATTCAAATGCACCTGGCTGGCTCAATCAGTATAGCATGTGACGCTTGATCTTGGGATTGTGGGTTTGACCCCAACGTTAGGAGATTACTTAAAAAAAAAAATCTTTAAACAGGAAACACAGATTCTGAGGAGGCATTATACCCCTATTTGGTTAAAAGTGGGTATCATAAGCCTCCTTTAAAATATTTGAATTGGAAATTTCTCCTCACTCTATAACCAAAATTAAGTGGGAGAAAATTCAGTCATTTGCTAAATCCCTGTTTTCTAGAAATTTGTTAGTTTCTGTCCTTCTTATTTTTGAGAGTTTGTATCTCTCACATGAAGTCCTACCTCAAGTATTCAGAGTAGAGAGTGAAGGTAGAGCGTGGTCTAGCATAGGCAGCTCCACCATCCCCTGTGTTTGCCACTTTGTCCTGAGATTCATGGAGTAGACAGGAATTTTAGTCTTCAGTTCCTGTAGTCATGATTAAGAAAGCATTTTTAAAAATTACTGGTTTTAGAAAAGACTTCTGTGGGGGCACCTGGGTGGCTTAGTTGGTTAGGCACCTGCCTTCGGCTCAGGTCATGATCCTGGGGTCCTGGGATCAAGCCCCGTGTGGGGCTCCCTGCTTAGTGGGTAGCCTGTTTTTCCCTCTCCCTCTGCCATTCCTCCTGCTTGTGTGCTCTCTCTGTCAAATGAATAAATAAAATCTTTAAAAAAAAAAAAAGATAAAGTTCTTTAGTATTTTAGCACAGAATGATACAGTTTCATCTTCTGACACACCTGTGTGTAATGCCGTTTCACTTTTCATATTTGTGACCCTTCAGGAACCAGTCAGGTAGTCCTATTACCATAAGGCTCTGATTCTCAGACAGTTCTGTTTGCCCCTCCCCACCCCGACATTTGCTGGTATCTGGAGGCATATTTGGTTGTCACAGTTGGAGGCAGAGGGCTTGCTACTGGCATGTAGTGTAGGTAGCAGCCAAGGATGCTACTAAATAAACATCCTAGAGTAGTAAGCACGACAAACCCCTCACCACAAAGATTTTTTTTTTTTTTTTTTTTTTAAAAGCAAGAGAGTGTACATGAGCAGGACGTGGGGAGGGGCAGAGGGAGAGAGAGAATCCCAAGCAGACTTCATGACTTCATGCTCAGTGTGGAGCCTGACATGGGACTCCATCCCATGATTCCTGAGATCGTGACCCGAGCTGAAATCAAGAGCTGGATGTTTAGCCATGCTGAGCCATCCAGGAGCCTCACCACTAAGAATTTTTAGTCCCAGGATGTCCTGGTGCCAAGGTTGAAGGTGAAAAAGAAAATGAGAGTAACCTGCTACATCAAGGACTTCTGTGGCTGCTGTAACAATTCTCCTCTGCCACAAACTCTCATTCCACATCTGCCTGCTCTGTGCTCTTTACTACGAAGAATCCCATGAGATCTTTTCAGACTGCAACTCCCAACCAGCTGTATGTATTCTGGGGGGAATAAGACACTATTTCTTTTTTTTCCTTCCTTACCATATAGACCCAAGGGCCACTGAGTTGGGTTGAAAGTTTGAAAGCTGGAGACCCTGGATTAGGCACCAGGTCTTAGACAGTTGGGTTGGGAAGTCAAGAGCCCTAACTGAAAATCTCTAGTAACTTTGTCTAGAATATCGGTGAGCTACAAGGCACAGTGTACAGCACCTCCAGCATCCTCCCAATCTTAAGGTATTTCTAACTTCAGTTTCTATAGAAAGAAGCAACATTCAGTTGACTTGTCAAGTCATTATGCGTCTAATGAATGATAGAGTAGGGAGTTGAAACCCAGGGTTTCTGATTGCAAGAAGAGTTTTCTATAAAGCTTTACCCCTGTTCAGGAAGATCTGTGCTGCATATTATCTTACTAAGAAGGATTTGTTAGTATCCCATGTCTGGTAAACTGAGGCCACTTAGTGGTAGATGTGGACCTAGGATCATGTCATGTAGTTTGATCCTGCCTGAAGATTTGTGCCTGATTATGTTTTCCTTTTGTGGGCAAAAGCAAGTATTAACTGTAATCCTTATGCCACTTAGAATACTATTTGAGCTTATTTAGATAGAATGCTTATTCTGATTGTCTTTATTTTATATTCAGGATTGGTATGGAAGAAGACTATTATGAAAACCACAGTATCATTACAACATTTTCCCCATAAGCATGGCTTTGTATTTTACATGCTACCCATGAAAACATGTCCTTAAAGTAAACTGGCATTGGGATTCTAGAATGAACAGCTTGGAATGGTCTAAGAAGCAGGAGAATCTTAGCTGTAGATCTTTTTGAAAGTTCTCTGTGGTCTCTTTGCTGGACCGTGGTAGCCTCTTACCGGTCTTTGAGGGATACACTTGGCGATTTAACCATCCCTTTTGGTAGCAAATGAGAAGATCCAGTTGCTGTAATAATAGTGTTCTCCTGCTTCGGGGACTTAAGCCAAGATATCTGGGGAGACCTGAGTGCTCATTCTGGGCCCCGTGATGCTCTACCTCTTCGCCTTCTTGAGGCGCAGAACTTGCCTTTCTCTTGCTACCATCATCTGTCCCTTGGTTCATTTCTCATTCTAGCATGCCTATAGCACCTTTTCTTTTTCTCTGCCGGTGAATTATATTGTATTTGAGGATGTATGTGGTGTGTTTGTGTTTGTAGACTAACAAACCTATGCTTGCCTGTATTCTGTGTGTAGGATATTTGGGGAAAGTGTACAGAACAGAATGTTTCTAATTATAGTGGAAGGGGGATGGGGATTCCCTAGTGTTTCTTGTGACTTAATTTATTTTGTCTTAATTACTAGTGTACTTGTTTTTAATAAGGAAATGATTTTTTTTTAATATGCACTTAATTTTAAAAGATTTCTATTGTGGTTCTGTTTGCAGTGAAATTAGCTTTAATTTTATTGCTTGCCTCACTTCCTCCAGGTAGAAAACAGTGGACTTAGGCATGTCTGGTTTCTTAAATTTGAAGACACCGGACTGTGACTTAATTCAGCCTGCTTGTGCATTGTCGCGTGGCCTTTCAGTCTGGACAGACAAGACCTATATGTTTTAGCTTTTTTAAAAAGTCAGCATTCACCATTAGCCTTTTCCTGTGGTCCTTTAACACTGCTACAAGCTGTAAAAAAAAAAAAAAAAAAAAAAATTACAGCTTTCAGATTGATTTACGAACAATGATTTTTTCCACAATTAACACTGAAGAATTTAAATACTGGGGAAAAGATGGATCCAAGTAGTGAGTCCCCTGTTAGGTTAAATATTAAGGTGTACTGTGTATGTGCCTACACAACATGTGTATGTGGACAGGAATTACAGTTGGCCCTTGAACAACACAGGTGTTAGAGGTGCTAACCGCCCTCTCCTTCTGCAGCCCCAAATCTATGAATAAATTGTGACTCCTCAAAAACTTAACTACTGCGGCGCCTGAGAGGCTCAGTCAGTTAAGCTGTCCAACTCTTGATTTTGGCTCAGGTTGTGATCTCAGGGTTATGAGATTGAGCCGCGGGTCAGGCTCCCCTCCCCTGCTTGTTCACACTGTCTCCCCACCCCCACCCCCCACTGCCCAGGTAAATAAATCTTAAAAAAAAAACAACAAACTTGTGATAACCTGCTGTTGCCCTTACTGATAATGTAAGCAGTTAACACACATTTTGTGTGTTGTATGTATTACATATTATATTCTTAAAGTAAGCTAGAGAAAAAAAAATGTTACTAAGAAAATCATGAGGAGGGTACCTGGGTGACTCAGTTAAGAGTCTGCCTTCAGATCCTGTGCCATTAGCAAGGACCAGTGCAATATAGCCCAAGTGAACAGGGATAGAAAGATCCCTGGATATTTGGAAAGGGAAGTGAAAACAGGCTGGTCCTCTCCAGGAAAGGAGAAACTGTGATGTGGGGATTCATGGAGGGACATGGCATCTCCAGGTGAAGAGAGAATAAAAGCTAAAAAGGAGAAAAAAAAAGTCTGCCTTCAGCTCAGGTCATGCTCCAGGGTCTTGGGATAGAGCCCTAAGTTGGGCTCCTTGGTCAGTGGGGAACCTGCTTCTTCCTCCCCCTCTCCCTCTGCCTGCCACTCCTCCTGCTTGTGCTCTCTCTGTCAAATAAATAAATAAAATCTTAAAGAAAAAAATCATAAGGAAGAGAAAATTTTCAGTACCATAGTGACTGTATTTATCAAAAAAAAATCTGCATTAACTGGACATGCATAGTTCAAACCCATTATTGTTCAAGGGTCAGTTGTGTGTGTTACTTGGATCACCTAGTCTCTTTTGTATCCTAATGCCAGATATTTTCTTGTAGATGTCTTTTAAGGGTAGGATAACTCTGTAGCTATGACATTGAAGAGGCTGCTAGATAAATGATGCCCAGTGGCCCCCGCCCATCCTCATACAGATAATTATTATTGTCTGTGATCCCTGGCACCAGAGTAGCTTACTGTGTTTTGTTGACAACAGTGAACTAGAAGACCTTTAAAAGTTCTAAAGAGTTTTTAAATTATTTTTGTTCTCTGCTGGCCAATTTAGAAACACATGTTTCAAAACATGTTCTGGCAAATTTGCCTTCCTTGATGATGAAACCATTTTGGGTAATGCCATGAGAATGCTTACCTCAGTTATTACATTTCGTTTGATGAGAGTACTTCAGTTGAGAGAAAACCTAGTTGCAGCTTGAGTTACATGTTGATGGCACAACAAAACAACCTGGGATTTAAATTCTGCTTGGAAAGAGCAACAGCCAAAATAATTAGAAATGGACTGTTCTTCAGAGGTGAATATAACTAAGGTCTTAGTATAGTTATTTTAGTTTTCTTATTTCGGTGTTTTTTTTTTTTTATCTCAAATTTCAGTTAAATTCTGAGGGCCCGTTCTGAATTTACATTTTTGTATAATAACTAGGGACCGCCTTCTTGTTCATCAAAGATTAATTTATCTAAGATCACGTTCATTAAAAACATCAGGACTGATCCAGAAGGATTTTAGCGCCAGCAGAGCTTTTTGTAATGAAATAATACTAAGAAATAGTACTTGATTTTATACCTTTCTGTATACTTCTTTCCAATAGTGGAACACCAGGGGAAACCATAATTATAAAATGAAAAAATGTTTTATATTGATGAAGATGTGTGAAAAGAAGTGATTGACAGTAAACACGATCTGAGTTCTAATTTTGGCCGAACAATATTTTCATTGTGCTTTATTTTTTTGAAAGATGACGTTAATAGTAATAATATTTTTACGCTGCTTTCTTCGAAAAATGGTCAGCTGGCTAAATTGCTAGGAGCAAGGGTATAACCTGGAATAGAATATGAGGGTTTCCATATTAAATATTAAAAATGTTTCCTTTCTGAATAGTTTAAACTTATTTTAACACATCTGATATTTTGTGTTAAAGAATCCAGATCTGCAAGTTATTTTAAAAATGTATCTGTACACAAGAGAATAGGTACATAAAACTAAAATGAAGTTGCATTGATAATTTAAAAAGTCTAATCTTAAAAACTATGTTCCTAAATAATTAAAAGCTGACTTTTTTTTAACTTGGATTTTTTTTTTTCATTTATTTGTTGTACTCAGAAGTCCTTTCCTCTTATTTTTCTGTCTTGATGTATTATGCTTTAAAAAATTTTTTTTTGTTGTTAAAAACAAGCAGACCTTAATCTACTAGTGTGTTCTTTTTTCCCCTTATTTTCTTAGGAGTCAGTGGATCGGTGGGGGAAATGCTGCTTGTCCTGGGCCTTGCGCTGTAGAAAGAAGATACCAAAGGCAAAGTACATGTATCTGGCTCAGGAGCTCTTGGTTGATCCAGAATGGCCACCAAAACCTCAGACAACAACAGAAGCTAAAGCTTTAGTTAAGGAGAATGGATCATGTCAAATCATCACCATAACATAGCAGTGCATCACTGTTGGTGGTATGCTAGTAGCAGGAGAATGTAATTTTAGGACATTCTGATCCTTTGTGTCAGAATGGCACCAATTCAATTTATGTCCCTTCTAGTACAGTAGCTGATAGAGAGCTTTTTTTTCCTTTTTTAAATAAAAGGAACAAAACAAAAAGATTGGCCCATCAGTTAAATTGTCAGTCTGTAAAGTCCTGTATCTTCATTCAGTAACTACATATTATATATACTTCTAGAATTTTCTGGTTGCCCTCAGTGATACTCTTTATATAGGGTACAGAAGAAAGTGGTATTTGGTAGGTTTTTAAACGTTCGCTTCTGAGACTTGGTTTATCCATTTAAATTTATTTTCACAACCTCATTAGAAAAAGTCCTCGTTTACATACCGGCCCTAAATTTGTGATTGGTAAATAAAATGGGTGTTAATTAACCTTCAGTGAAAATAGGTAGAAAGCCCGTTTCATTTGATTCCAAAATTTCTTCCAAAGAATTCTGTATATACATACACCAGTTCCCTTTGATAGCCTAGGAATTTTATGGTGTTGCTTATAGAACAACTCAGGTAATTTCCATTTATGGTTTTATATTTTCTGTACAAACTGCCTGGGTTTTATTTTTCTAATCAGCAAGGTGCTTCACTGCCTTCTTCAGATGTCCCTCAAAGTTATTAAATGGATCTTGTGGTATGTCTTCTGTCACTATTATAATTTACTTCACTTAAATGTTGTAGAACCATTTTCACTAGGAAAAAAATTTTTTTTTGGCAGTAGATACAAATCTGTCTAATATCTCTTCACATCTTCCCCCCCCCTCAGGTTTTATATCATTTTAAATATTTTTATTTTCTTCTATGTTTCTAAAAAACAGCATAGGGTAATAATGCATTGGGTTTTGTTTTGTTTTAGTGTTTGAGTTAGACTTCAACCTCCTAAAATTTTTAAGGGTTGGTACATGTCTCTTCTATAAATAATGAGGCTTAAAAATGAGTGAGTGGTTTTGAGTGACAGCTGTTTTTTCAAAGCAGTACGAACTTGGTGCGTTTGTTTTATGCCATTAGGTGGCGCCAGAGGCCAGAGCTTACCTATTTAAGGTTGGATGTTTACACAGGACATTCTTTGGTTTTAAGAATTGCTGGGAGGAAGAAAAATTGAAATAAAGTTAAAGAATAGACATACATTGAGCCAAAAGAAATGTGAAAAGTATTTTTCACCTTTCTCTTTTGTCTGGTTATGTTTAAATTTTAAACAAAATTAAAGTAACTTTAAAAATGCCTTTCTAGGTAAGATCCAGCAGTTTGGCAAAGCCCACAGTTATGATAAACAAGGAAACTGATATTGCTATAAAACGGACACTGAACTCCTAAAACTATGTGATGTTATCCTATGTTCTTCCTTAACTGGTAGCAGGCTTGTGCTTTCCACTTCCAGCTGATCATTATTTTCCTGATAGATATTTACCAGTTTATCAAATGTTAGCCAGAACTATAGAACCACATGGTTCTCTTTTTTTATGCTGCAGAGACCTGAATGATGTTAGGTAACTATAGGAAAATGTAAGTTACACTCAGGATCACTGTTACTGCTATTGCCACTGATGATTCTTACAAAAATATAATCGAAGTTTTCCATCAAAAAGTAGAATATGATATTAATACACATTAGATAAGAACAATTGTTCCATGAATGATTCTATGAAGCTATGCATCTTAGACCTCTTGAGCTGTGAATTAGCACTGTTTTCTATAGTTACTTATCCTCCTGATCATTTTCTAATTTCCACATTCATTTTCAGTGTGTACAAGCATTATTCTTAAGTGATTTCCCAGAATTGTAAATTTTATTCTTTGATTTAAATACTGAAGCATATAATTAAAGTAATTGCTAAGTAGCAGCTTAAAAATCCAGTCATCGGTTTGTATTTAACATCTTAACGCGCATGATCATAAAGAGCTGTATTTTTTACACCCTTCTTTTTTTTTTAACATTTTGGTTTTATAAGGGTTTTGTATCTCATTTGTCCATATTGTTTTCAAAGGAATGCGGTTTTTAGGTAGGTGGAAGAGCATTTGTAGGATATTGGATTTGAACATAGAGAAGGTGGGTTGTTCAGGTTGCAATTGATGGTTTCCAGAATGTTATTTGAAGAATGTCTGTGAATCCAGGTGTGGGTCCTACTCAGTGCCATAGACAGACTGAGTTCTCTCTCTGTAGGTCACCGTTACATAGTAATTTTGATTCTAAACTTCACATTAAATTATTTGAGTGTATACAGACCGAAATTAAAAAATCTGTACATATCTTATTTTGATGTATTAAAGATTAATAAATATTGCCGATTTAAATTTTATTTATGCACATACTTAAGGACAGAAATGTCCGGGAAAGTAATTGTTAAATAATGATATGTAACTTTTTAACTTTTTAAATAAATAACAAGATTTTTAATGTGTGTCTCCCTCAGGGTTGTTTAAAGTTTTTTTTCTCCCTCAAATATAAATAGTGGTAACTATATGTTTTGTATCTTCTAGCACCAACTGCTGTAAAACAATGCTGCAAATAATGCTTGAATAAAAGCGGCTAAGCCAACAACAAAAGAAATACTTTTTATATTAGTTTTATAATTCTTACATTCGAGAGCTTTCCAAATTGCACTTGCATTTAAACAGAACTGTTGCAGTCTTAACTGTATGTATTTTGTCTCCCGTGTTTGTGAAGATACTGCACAGTGTCAGAGGCATGGCAAATAACATATCAGTGTTTATGTATTCTGTTCCCCAAATGGCTATAGTACAATATCCAGAAAAGAGCAAAATTCAAGCTTTAGAAAACATTCTAAGACCGCACGCATGCAATTTTGACATATCTGAAAATAGGTTTTTGTATATTTATGGTGGGAGGTGGTTGGGAACTTTTGACAAAATGTGGGATGTTAATTTTTGTACAGTCTGTGGGCATTTACACATTTTTAATGTAATAAAATTTGGTAATTATGTGCATATTAAATTAATAAGATAGTTACTTCCTGTTATGATTTGTGAATTCCCTAAGACTTTGGATTTTTTTTAAGTAACTTTATATCAGAAATGATACTGCATCTTTATATTTTTTAAATTGTATTGCTGCTCAAGAATGGTACCCTGATGTCGAAAAGGCATACATTCATAATTGTACATTCACTGTAAATAACCTTATGAAATCTTTTTTTGGATTGAAGCTATTCAAAATAAAAATGTAAATGAATGAAATAACGTTTTTTTTTCTGTCTCCTTATACATTTGTTCACCTTTTAGCCATACAAATACTGCCGTTCTGGATTTATTTTTCTACTTCATACGTGTGCATTTCCTTTTTTTTAACTTTTTTAACTTTAATTTTTGAAGGGAATAAATACCACATCCCACATAGATACCACATCATGTGTGTGACCATCCTTTGGAAACCCGTTCACTAGATATAGTGTAGAACCAGATGGTAAGTATAAGGAGGTCTGAGGGAAGTTGTAAAATGTTAAGACTACAGGCTTATCTGTTAACAGTTGGGAAGGTCAAATGCAGAGCTAATGTCACGTAACGCATTGTAAGTTTGAAGTGAAGTGGCAGCCATGGGTGCAAAAGGAGCACTCCCAGGAAGGGAGAAACTGTGGAACTAACTGTTGGTCCTAGAAATCCCTGAGAAGGCATTGTGCCAGGCTGGGTGGTCTTTCTGGGTCTCAGGTCCTACAGGAGGCCTGCCTCTTGCTGTGGCCTATGTGGCTGGCCGTGGTGTGATTGATTGGGCGGTGTGGAGGTTTAGGGTCCCAGGTTCTTCCCATTCACTGTGTTTTGTGTAGCAGAAGTGGCAGGGCCGAGGTTCTCCATGTCTCTCTCTTCCCAGGGTGTCACTGCCAGGTGCTGTGTTTCAAGTATGTATCGCAGGGAAGGATGGAGTAGGAGGAGTTTGGATGAGACAGTCACTGTTCAGAATTGGAGTTGTGATTGCTCTGTAAGTGCACAGAGATCCCTCCAGTGCATAGAGTCTCCCCTCACTGAGGAGACAAGCAGGTCTCATTCAGGCAGACAGCTCTGCTTTGGAAAGGCCAAACCACAGAGGCCGGGGTGACTTACACAGAAGTTGCCTCTTAGCATAGCGAATTTCTAACCTGCTACATGGGTCCAAAATTCAAAGGACATGAAAACACAGGAACCACCGACTTCAGTGTTTGAAATACTTCTCAGTACCTCATCCAATTTTTCAGCAAATGGACTCAACAATGTTCCTCTACTGACTGCAACTTCATACCCTTCTGGGCATTCAGAATGTTCTGCTCTTTTCAAAGAATAAACGTTGGAGGTCATTCTGATCTGAGTGCTTTGAGGAAATGGGCCACAGAAGCTTACAAGAGCCTGACACGAAGTCTTACTCTGATTTAAAATCTACACAAATAGAACCATACGTGTATGCTCTGCTGCCCTTATTTCACATGGTTCTGTGTATCAGAGAGAGATGTCTGCATTTGCAGCTCAGATTCATTCTTTTTAAAGTCCACAAGCCATGGGCGCCTGAGTGGCTCAGTGGGTTAAGCCGCTGCCTTCGGCTCAGGTCATGATCTCGGGGTCCTGGGATCGAGTCCCGCATCAGGCTCTCTGCTCAGCAGGGAGCCTGCTTCCTCCTCTCTCTCTCTGTCTACTTGTGATCTCTCTCTGTCAAATAAATAAAATCTTAAAAAAAAAAAAAAAGTCCACAAGCCATCCCAGTGCACAGATGTTTCATAACTTAGATGACTACTTCCCTGTTAGTGGCCACTTAAGGTTTTTTCTTTATTTTCCTACTACACAGAGCCCTGCAGTGTTTTTGTGCACACTTTTAAATAGGTTCCACACCTAACGGTTGAATTCCCGATCCTGAGATCAAGAGTCGTGTGCTCTACTGACTGAATCCCCAGGTGCCCCATTTTGTGAGCAAATGTTAATGAGCTTAGACATAGGACGTATTTTTAGCAGTGGACCTGCTGGACAAAGGATATGTGTATTTTTAATTTGGTTGATGCTGCTAAATATTTCCCCCAAAGTTTTTTCCAATGTGTGATCCACCATTGTAGTATGAGAATGTCTGTTTCTTCACACTTAAAATGCTGGATATTTTCAGGCTTTAAACAATAAAAGGTTCTATCAGTATGGTGTTGGTGCAGGGATTACCAGATAGCCCAGAAACAGACCCACACGTTCCTAAAATATGGACTCATGACTATACTGACATTGTAGCTCTGAAGGAAGGGGTTTAGTTATATATAAATGGGACTAGGACAGCTGGTTATGTTAATGGAAAAAAATTAACTTGGATTCCACTCAAACACATCATACGCAAATATCAGTTCAATATGGATTAAAGACCTAAAAAGAAAGGACAAAACTATGAAACTCAGTAAGGCATTATAGGAGAACTTTCTTCTTTTTACTTGGGAAGAGAGGAGGACTTACTTTAATACAAAAAACAAGATTGATAACTTGGTCTATATTAAGATTTAGGTCCATCAAAAGACATCTTGAAGAAGATGAAAAAGGCAAACCACAAACTAGCTGAAGATATTCGACAAAAAACTGACAAAAGGATTAGCATCCAGAATATATAGTTTTTTTAAAATACATATTTTGCATATAGGAAAATGGGCAAAAGAACCCAACATCTCAGAAAATGAAGCACAAGTGGGCATTAAAAATATGAAAAGATGCTCATGCTCATGAAATGGGGAAGAATGAAAAAACCACACAGAGACAATGACTTTATGTGAATGGAAAAAATTAAATTGAAAAAATCAATTCCAATTATGGGCAGAGCTGTGAGGCACAGAAACTGTCATACACTGTAGGTGACATTACATATGCATACTACTGTGGAAAGCAGCTGGACATTCCTAAGTTAAATTGAATATACGAACACCCTTCAACACTGTGGTGCCATTTTCAAACACACTGGAGAATGTTTTTGGCCTTAATATTCCTCAGAATGGGAGAAGAGAACTGGAATAGAGAATTGGGGCAATGTGGTGGGGAAAGGAAGATTGGATGGAAGTGTGGTCCATCCAGGGGTATGGTTGCCACAGTGATCCAGCCGTGTCACTATGCTGTCCTAGCATCACTGTCATAGTGTGCCATTTTATGGAGAAACCACTCTCTCTTCTGCTCTTACTCAGGGTTGATAGTAGGATTTAAATTACATATGGTCTCTTTTTCAGTTTGAAGCTTTCTGTCATTAAAAACCAGAATCTGCCCTCTGAGATAGGGTCCTTCCCATGACTTTTATTCTGGTAAAGTCTTTATCCTCAGGATGCAAGGATACTTCCCTCTTCCTTCGGAAAGTGCTGCACCACAGGCAAAGCCCTGAGTCCTTCCGTTACTTTCGGGTACAGCACCATTTTAGGTAAGGCCAAGGTAACTGAGGGCTTGGTTATGGGCAGAAATTATAAAATTTTGTACAAGAAATTATTTGCGTAAAATTACATTTGAGAAATGTTTTGGCAGAGTAGTATTGTGTATATTTCACATGTAATTCAATGCCACGAGTTCATATTTTTTGTTAAGCATCTTAGAAATGATAGTTCCTTTTTGAGACAGAAATACTGTTCTCAGATTCTAGCTCTGTGACTCGGGTTAGGTTACTTACCCTTTCTGTGCCTTAGTTTCATCATCCTTTAACCCGAGATAAGAATAGGGTCTACCTCATAGGGTTATTGTAAAGATTGAATGAATTAATGTAAATAAAACGCTGAGACTAATGAATGGCATAAAGTGATAGGTATTCCCTGTTTTTCTCGCTGTGGCTAACTGAAGGTGTTCGCTATTTGAGGGTGTTTCTGTTTTTGTAGAATAGGTGCTGTGCACGTAGCACAATTGTGCAAGGAATCTGGTGGTAGTTGCTGTTGTTTTCCCAGACTTTGTGCTGTTACCGTCCTGACTTGGCTATAGCCACCGCTGAGTAAAGGCAGGAAGAGCAGGGCTCTCTTCACCGTGGGGCCTGCTCAGTGATGTCTGTGAGCCTCGATGTGAGAATGATTGTTTTCATTAATTCTGTGGAAAGACTTTAAAGCACTGGCTTTTCACTATAGCTGGAAAACGCTTTAATCTCGGGGCTTTCAACCGGGAGGAGAAAATCGGCAGAACCGAAGAATGGGACCTCTTGGGGTGAAGCGAATGTGTTTCCACCACCCAGGAACATCTGCCCTCCTGGGAAAAGAGGGCTATTTAGTTGTGTCTGGGTAACATTCAAAGTCAGTGACAGTCCGGGCGAAAGACTCCTGCCTCTACACGGTTCCAAGGCTCGAACCCGAGCGCCAGCCCTTGCGTGTCGCCTGCAGACGTCCCGCTGTCGCCTTTGCAGACATGCTGAGGAGCGCCTGCTGTGTGCGGCGCTGGGGCCCCCGCGCGCCCAGCCGTTCCCCTGCCCCCACCCCGGCCTGCAAGTGCGTGTTGCGGGACACCGTGCAGTGCTCCGGGGCCCCGGGGCCCGCCCCGCCTAGCTTGGCCTGCCCGCCAACCTCACGCACATCCTGCTCTTCCGAATGAGCCCTGGCACCTTGCGGAACGACAGCTTTGGCGGCAAGACGGTCCTGCAGCGCGTGATGCTGACCGACAGCCCCATCGCCTCCACCGCCCCTGGCGCCTTCCACGACCTGATCAAACTTAAAACCCTGCGGCTGTCGCGCAACGGGATCACGCACCTGCCGGCCGCGCTGGTGGACAAGGTGGTGCTGCTGGAGCAGCTGTTTCTGGACCGCAACGAGCTGAAGAACATCGACCAGAACATGTTTGGGAAACTGGTTCACCTGCGGGAGCTCTTCCTGAACCCAAACCAGCTCGCTGCCCTTCCCGCTCGCCGCCTCAGCCGTCTGGGGAACCTGAGACTGCTGGACGTGTCGGCAAACAACCCGCCCACCTGCCCCGGGAACTGCTTGCGGCGTAGGCCAGGCCGGAGAAGCTCGCGCTCCACTCGAACCGGCTCGAGGCTCTGGGAACCGGGCTGCTGAGCCCCCTGCGCTCCCCGGAGGAGCTGCCGCTGCACGGGAATCACCTCCGCTCCATCGCCCCCGGAGCCCTCGACACACTCCGGAGCCTGAGCTACCTGACGCTTTCCAGAAACCGCCTGGAGTTTCTGCTCCTCCTCCCCCCACCGCGCTCTTCCTTCATTCCCGAGATTTGCCCTTCCTGACCCAGTTCGAGAACCCGCTGGCAGAGCTGCGGGAGGTGCTCTTCGGGGAGCTGGCCGGCTTGCGGGAGCTGTGGTGAACAGCACGCGGCTGCCCACCCTGCCCGCCGCCGCCCTGCGCCCCCTGAGCGGCCTGCGCGCCTTCGGGGTGATGGTGAGCCCGCGCCTCCGCGCGCTGCCCGAGGACGCCCTCCGGGGGCTGGCGGCGCTGCGGGAGCTCGCGCTGCACTCCAACCGCCTGGCCGCGCTCCCCGGCGCCCTGCTGCGCGGCCTCGACCCGCTGCGCAGCGAGTCGCTGCGCCGCCACCGGCTGCGGGCCCGGCCCCGCGCGCTCTTCCGCCACCTCCGCGCCCAGGAGCGGGTCGAGCTCGAGCGCAGCCAGCTGGAGACCCTGCCCGTTGACGCGTTCGCGGGTCTGCCCCGGCAGGCGGAAGTCGGGCTGGGCCACCATCCCTGGCGCTGCCACTGCGGCCTGCCCCCGCGGTGCCGCGGTCCCGGACCTCGCGCCGGTCTGCCGCTCTGGGCGCTGCTGGACAAGGACCCGGAGTGCCCGGACACCCGCGGCCCGCCTCCCTGCCCTGCCCTGCCCCAGCCGCCACCCGGACGGCCTTGGCGCCCGCCGGCTCGGAGCCCGGCGGGGGGGGGGGGGGGGGGGTCCGGGCGCAGCAGGGGGCCCGGGGTCCACACCAAGACCACAGCCTGTTCTGGGGGCTTTATTTTCTGCTTTTAGCTACCCAGGCCGTCACAACAGGGATCATCGTGTTTGCTGTGGTTAAACTCGGCCGGCTCTTTCGAAGATTAATCAGAGAGAGAGAGGGAGCTCTTGTTCGAGTCAAAGGGGAAATCTTGCACCTAATTAAAATGGGGTCAGAGTGTTGGCAGAGGTGGCTCTGGGGGAGAATACTGCCGGGCTGCTGCTGTCTTCCTCTCTCTTCTCTCTCCCGTCTCCTTCCCTCCCTCACCCCTTCCCACCTCCTGCTGTCCCTCCTCCTCCCTCCACCCCGCAGAAGGAGTCTTTACACCTCTAAATTGGGTGCGTAGCTTGGCCTTTGTGTACCCTTACTGCGCCGTGCCCCAGGGGCCGCGGATTGTGTGTGTGTGTTTGGGCTGCACTTTCCCCGGGGCAGAGAAGGGTCTCCTCCCCGTGGAGGAAGGGTGTAGATGAGCCAGCCAACTCCAGGACGGGGCCTGTCTCCTGCACGGGATGTCCGGTAAAAGTTTATGAAATGAATGAATAAAATGAACTTGCGCGATCCCAGGGACGGTGGCTTTTCCTGGGGGACAGGATGGATCGTTCTCTTTACTCTAGAAAAACAGAACTCTTCGGGTGTCTTCCCTTGTTTTATCTTTTTCTAGCTTTATGTATCTCTGAACTGTGGGCTACTGGGGAGAGTGCTGGCTGGCTTTCCTTCCTGCAGCGCCTGTTTTCAGAGGAGGCCTACTGAGGTACAGAGCCCAAAGCCTTTCTGCCAGGATCCCACGGAAGTGGGAGGAGGGGGAGGTCACTGGGAGGCTTAAGCCTCGAGGGGGTTGGACCTGCAGAGTAACTGTGTGTGCCTGCCAAGGAGAGTTCTGTCTGCATGTGTGCGTGCTCTATAAGTTTCTCCTAGCTTCCCCTGTGGGTGAAGTGTGTCATTGTGACACTGGGTTGGTTTCCATTTCCTGGAACTAAATGCCACCTCATTTCAAAGCATTTATGGAGCACCTCTCATGGGCAGGGTGTTCATGAATGTGATGATAAGCTTGGTTTCCGGTTTATTATGGTAGCATCACATTCTCGTTTAGTCTCCCAGCTGAGAGCTATAAAGCCTTTGTTGCTTAATTGTGTGTCTGTGCTTGTGAGAAGCACTGGTTTAAACATGGGCTGGAGAGTGGACAGCCATGGTGTGAAATCCCAGCCCCACCACTTACTAACTGCACAGGGCTTTGGGCCAGACCCCCAAATTCTCCAAGCTTTGGTGTCCTCATCCCTGGAGAGGGACAAAGAGGACCTGCCCTCACAGAGCTTTCGTGAGAGTTAAGGGCAATAAATCATGTGCTGACTCCACCTAGTGCCCTGCATACAGTCAATGCTCAATAAATGTTAGCTCTTATTAAAGAGCAAGCAATTATTCCTGCTGTCATGATTGCAAAAGGAAGAGTTCTGAGTTGGCTTTTTCTCTGTGCATGGGAAGGTGAGAGCAAACTTTCTCAAATGGGAGATCACATTAAAGCAGCTTGTCTTCACCTGTTGTTGGTCTCAGCCCTGTGTGGTTGAGGTCTGTGTGCTCATGGTCCAGAGCAGGGGGTCCTCTGAACGCCAGTTGGATACAGAGCAGGAAGAGCTGGGTTCCTGGCATTTCCACGTGGACTTCTTCCAGGCCAAGTGGGTAAAGCCTTCCTTGAGGCCCAGGCATCCTCAAGTGTTCCCTGCTGTGTACTCCCCTCTCAGGTTTCTAAGCACCTTCCTCCCTGCCAGGTGGTCCACTCACCCTTCACCCTGGAGCCTGGAGTCTGTGTTGATGTGCCCCCTGCATTGTGGGCTCCTGGGCCCTACCTTGTCCTGTTTATTTCCACCTTTCGAGACTTACCTACAGCATAAAACCCAGACTTTTCTTTTTTTATTATTATTAACATATAATGTATTATTAGCCCCAGGGGTACAGGTCTGTGAATCATCAGGCTTACACATTTCACAGCATTCACCATAGCACATACCCTCCCCAATGTCCATAACCCCACCACCCTCTCCCTCCCCCTCCACACCCCCAACCCTCTGTTTTGTGAGAAAACCCAGACTTTTGGATGGAATGTGGACTCTAGTCCTAACCACTGTATTGTTGGGCAAGCTACCTAGCTCTCAAAGCCTGTTTCCTTACCAGGAGAGCGAGGAGGATTCTGGTCCATACTGTTGTCTCGAGGATGAAATGAGATAACCCAAGCCACGTAGTGAAGTCAGTGGCTGAGGGGGAGCATAGGTGGCTTAACAGACGTTGGCTGTTAACGTTGATTAGCTCTCAGAACACAGTGTCCTGACGTGCCTCAGTGCCTTTGCATTTGCTCGTGCACTCAGCAGCTCTCTGTGGAGCACCTCCTCTGTACCAAGCCCAGTTCTAAGTGCAGGGACAGAGCAAAGCATAGAACAAGTACACCCTTCAGTGGGCCTTACCTTTTGGTGCCCCCTCCAACTAAAACACCTCCCCCGAACTCCTGGCCATTCTCTTCAAACACTTGGAAAATTATGGGGTAACAGCTATGGATACCTCAACCCGCTTAATAAAATGCTACTATATTTGCTTCAGTTATTTTTTAATTTATTTTATTTATTTATTTTTTTTAAAGATTTTATTTATTTATTTGACAGAGAGATCACAAGTAGACAGAGAGGCAGGCAGAGAGAGAGAGAGAGAGAGAAGCAGGCTCCCTGCTGAGCAGAGAGCCCGATGTGGGACTCGATCCCAGGACCCTGAGATCATGACCTGAGCCGAAGGCAGAGGCTTAACCCACTGAGCCACCCAGGCGCCCCCTTCAGTTATTTTTTTAACACGAAATGTGACAAAGTTGAAAGCCCCTGCCTGTATCTTCTCTGTGCGTACTCCTCTGCAGGGAGCTACTTAATAAAAATGTGGCATTCCACATTCCTAGTGGTGCTTTTAGACTTTTTTTAAAATTCATTTATTTGTCAGAGAGAGAGAGAGACAGCACAAGCAGGCAGAGGCAGAGGGAGAAGCAGGTTCCCCATTGAGCAGGGAGCCCAATGCAGGACTCGATCCCAAGACCCTGGGATCATGACCTGAGCCAAAGGCAGCCACTTAACCAACTGGGCCACCCTGCTGTCCCTGCTTTGAGACTCTTAACTACATGGGTTTACCACCCTGAACAGGCTAAAATAATGCTTTGCCAGTTTTTAAGTTTTCTATAAATGATGGGACTCTGCATGTAGCATTCTTCAAACTTTTCCCCAGGGCTCACATTTTTTTTTTTTTAAGTTTATTTATTCTCTACATTCAACATGGGATTCGAACTCACGACTGTGAGATCAAGAGCCATATGTTTTTCCGACAGCCAGCTGGGCACCCCCGCACATGCTTTTTGAGATCTATCCATGTGAAGCATTTGGCTCTAGTTCATTTTAATAGCTGCATAATATTCTATTGGATGAATTTTCCACAGCTCATCTGTTCTCTTATTGATAGACATGGATTCCCATTTCTTTTCTTTTTATTCCCCATTATTCCACATCCTCCTCAACTCTCGGTGGCATTATAATTTTGAATTTTTATCAATCTGATAGGTATGAAGTGGTATCTCATTGTTTAATCTTAACATTTCCCTGATAACTATTGAAGTTGAATTTATTTTTAAATGTTTGCATGTTTATTATACTTATTTTTAAATGTCTAAACTTATAATTAAATGTTTAGATTCCTTCTGAAAATTGTATACACTGACCCATTTATAATGGAGCATTTTGTCTTTTTTAATTACTATTATTGATTTGTAGGAATTCTTTACATATCCTGGGCACTAATCCTCTGTAAATTGTATGCTTTGGAATGATTCTTTTCAGTTTGTGGCTTATTTCACTTTATTTATGCTGTCTTCTGTGGAATGGCAGCTTTAATTTTAATCTAGTCAAAATTAGCAATGTAATTTTATGGTTCATGTTTTAAAAAAGAATCTCATTTAAGAAATTCTTCCTATTCGAGGCACCTGTGTGGCTCAGTCGGTTAAGCGTCCCACTCTGGATTTCGACTCAGGTCATGGTCTCAGGGTCGTGAGATCGAGCCTGGGTCAGGCTCCAGGCTCAGTGTGGAGTCTGCTTCAGATTCTAAAAGAAGAATTATAAGCAGGGGAAACAAAACAAAACACAAAAAAGTAAAACTATTTGCAAAATACAATGAATAGCCATTCATTTTCTGAAGGCCTACTACATACAAAAGAGTGATTTCAGTGGCCCTATAAAGATTATGTTCTAGGGGCGCATGGATGGCTCAGTTGTTAAGCATCTGCCCTTGGCTCAGGTCATGATTCTAGGGTCCTAGGATTGAGCCCTGCATGAGGCTCCCTGCTTGGAGGAAAACCTGCTTCTCCTCCCACTCCCCCTGCTTGTGCTCCCTGTCTTGCTGTTTCTTTCTCTGTCAAATAAATAAAATCTTTAAAAACAAAACAGATTCTGTCTCCCTTTACTTCTGTTCCTCATACCCCCTCACTTGCAGGCATGCTGTTGTCTCTCTCTCAAACAAAATCTTCAAGGGAAAAAAAAAATTCTTCCTACTCTCAAGTCATAGAGGATATCTCCTCTATTTTCTTAGAAAAGTTGTAAAGTTTAGGGCTTTAGCCCACATGGAATTTGGTTTTTTGTTTGTTTGTTTTGGAATTTGTTTTTTATGCAGTGTGATGTAGCCAACCAACTGTATGTTTTACAAACGTGCATGCCACTGTCCCAGACCGATCGTCACCCAGCCCAGCCTTTCCGTGCTGGTCTGCCAAGTTCCCTCTGTCACTTGTCAGTTTTCCCTATGTGCATGGGTTGGCTTCTGGGTTCTGTAGCTTAAAACACTGGCCTGTTGCTCGAGTCTGAAACTCACTGTAGCTTTCATAATTCTTGGAGTAGTCACCACTCCGCCTCATTCTTCCTTGGAGAAAATCTCATCCCTTTGCAATTCCATACACACATTAAGGTCAGTGTGGCCAGCTGCACCGAGAAACCTGCTGGAATTCTGACAGGAATTGCAGGGAATTTGTAAACCAATCTGGGGGAGAATTTTCATCCTTTACAATACCTAGTGCAATTATCTGTAAACATGGTAGGCCTTTCTATCCATTTGGGTCTTCTCTAATCTTTCCATGAGGTTTCAGAACTTTTTGCATAAGAATCTGGCGTAGATTTTGATAGGTTTTTCCCTAGCTCTCCTTCCCCTTTTGTGAATTGTGGCTGTTGTAGATGTTATCTTTTTTAAAAATTACATTTTCTCATGGTTTATTACCAGTATGTAAAAATGGGATTCATTTTTATGTAATTATCTCCTATCCAACAATAATTCCAATAATTTGCTTCTTCCCATTAAAACCTTACACCTTTTATT